GAGTCACTCACAAATAAATCCAGCAAACTCCAGAACCTCGTCCCCACACCATCTTCAATACTAGTGATTAACTTCGTGAAGCGATTTCCAGAACACTTGTGAGAAGCCATGATCAGTGGAGTTCAATTGTATATCGAGTGAGGCATCTACTCACCAATGGTATGATGAGTTAAATAATATATCGACCGACCTGCAGTGGAATCATGAACACATATTGCTAAGAAGTCCCATACTAAAACGAAAGTTTCCCTTGTTTTCAGTAGCCGTTTAGCCAGGTTCATTCCGTGTTGTAAATTACAAAATTTCCCTATTGTTGGTTCTTATCACAAAACGATACCAATTAAAGTATAGGTTGCAAGTTGTACTGTAGTTCGACAAAAAATCTTTCGACCATAGATTCAAATTTAAAATAAACAAATCAGGCAGTTGATTATATTGCCTTGCAGCACAAACTACTTGGAGTTGAAATAATACGAACCACTGTATTACCAACTAATTTTCTCAATTAAAGAGGAATAGTATATATTTGTAAAATCTCAGCGAAAGAATTTGAAGTAAATCCAACGTTTCGCCTGGCAATCTGGTCCAAGCTTTTTGATTTGAAGTTTAACGGTGTGTTAAAGCATAGAAGAATTCTTAAAATGCGAACTACCTATTGGAAGAAAGCAGTGAAAAACAATCTGAACAAAATGCAAACTACTAAGCAAAATCATGATTTTTGTTTAAAATTTAGAATCGCATTCATCAGAGGCTGTCTGAGTCCAGAACTGATATTAGCTTGACAACCATTTAAAGCTATGGAGTGTTGGACAACAAATTCGTCCTAGTTTGGAGCTTGCAATTATTATATACCACGAATACCCAGGATCAAACGCTGAACTTTCAAGTCCTGAGTTTAGTATTTATACATCATTTGTGCAGATACTCCACTAAGAAGTAATTTTGATTATGAACTGATATGAGCCCAACGAACATTAGAAACTAACAATCAACAGTAGATAGTTATTTCGTAATATTTTTGAACTTCTGAACATTGGGTATACACGATCGCGCATCATATCTAAATTAGACCCTTGGGTTTCACGGTGAAAACCACACATTTTGACCAGTGATTTAAAATACAGTGGTTTATATTCATTACTCTAGTCGACTTGCGATATTGTATAACTATCATTTAATACCACTTATATTTTCCTCACTTCTTGCATGGCTGAACTGCATTGGTCATAGCTTCTCTTTAGAACTTCGGGAACCCATATCATTAATAACGTCATAACTATTAGTAGCGGAATGAAAGGTTTTTGAGAAGTCTTTTCTGTCTGAAGTTAGTTTTTATCAAAAACTAATATCAACAGGTTCGTGTTTCTGCATTAATAAGGATTCTGTGACTAGAACAGAAACATACATCAACCGCATCCTATTATCTAATATTTGTCTATTTATTTTAACATATAGATATTGGTACAAGGAGGCACCAAATACATATGCACCACACAAGTCATTTGATTTGTGTGTGTGCTGTGATACTGCCCGTGTATCCAAACCGAAGCAGATGGTTTCCTTAGGGGGCCACACTCAGAGCCTTCGACATAAAGGTGTAACCCACAAGGCAACGTCAGGAGATGCAGTCCCATGGTAGCCGGTGACCAATAATTGATTCATACGCCATTTGTTCCTTCAGGATGCTGGAGCCAATGTGCACCATTGGTTTGAATTCAGGGTTTTCCAACTCCCCTAGGTAGAGTCTCCATGTTCACCGACCCGCTTAAAGCACCGGATATTCGCTTTTCGTCCTCTCAATTTCGTAAACAATACCCGTGTTGCGAGAGGGCAGTGAGTAGGACTTCCCTGGTAGTCGCTGTATACGCGTGGCCATTTGAGATCATTTCGAGAGGGAGAGCGGACTTTCCCCACTCTCGGCCGTACCAGGGCATTCGGGGGCAATATTTATCTAGCTGATGTCATTCCTTGACATAATTGTTCATTAGAAAAAAGTTCACATTAATGACTTTCAATGAGTATTTTTATTAATCGTTACATTGGAAATAAGTATTAGCTAATGTAACTCAGTGGAATAAATAAATTGAATTCTATAAAGCTTTCTATGGAATTTTGAATAAATCGTGGTTTTAAGAGTCTGCCTACATAGATATTTTATCGAATAATGTCGACTAGAACAATGAGAAGCAAGATACAGTCTGAAAATAAAGTATTTGTCCGGCCCTTCCTTGAAACTCATTTGTACAGTGCATCTAAAACCGGTTAAACTGTTGGTCTCTGTAAATAACACACCTAGTAGCCTAACAGTTTTCATTTATTTATTTATTTGAACACATAGATATTGGTTCAAGGGGTGCCAAATACATATACGCCACACAAATCTCATTTGATTTGTGTGAGGGCTGTGATACTGCCCGGGTGCCCAGATTGAAGCAGGTAGTCGCCTAACAGACTTCTGATGCAAATGGTAAGGCCAAAAATCTGAAAAGCTAACACATTAAGAACTAACAGCAGAAAGATCGTGTATAATCGGGCTCAGAAAGTTTTCTGGTTGTCAGTCCGCGATAGAAACCACAAACAAAATAGTCATCAAACTATTTCATTCGATAATCTGATATATTTTTATTTAAACACATAAACGTGGGTACAAGAAGGCACCAAATAGGTATGTGCCACATAAATCATTCAATTTGTGTGAGCTGGGATACTGCCTATGTGCCCAAATTGAAGTCAGTGAGTAGGACTTCCCTGGCAGTGGTTATTTGTACGTGGCCAAGTGAGAGCATTTCGAGGAGACTTGACTCTCCCCACTCTCGAATGTACCATGGTATTTGGGGGCAGTCCAATATATGATCAAGATAACTTGCGTTATAGTTTTCCCTCTTTTAAACAAAACTAAACTGAGAAGTAACAATAATAACTTTCATATTTCTGAACTGGGGACTAATCTTAGTTGGACAACCGTTCAAAACCGGGAAACATTGAGTGGCTGTTTTGTCTAAGTTTGAGACACCCCGGAAGTGTGTATCCATGATCTCGTCAGGGAACCCCATAATAAGGTGAAAAATCTATCTAGCGCTTCCTGCTTTCCCAATGGTCGTCTAGGATCAATCAGTTATGTGAAGCCACAAAAACTCAACTATCACCACAAAGCCGCTATACTAATAATAAATCATTGTTTTCTTATCATTAACCAAGGTTGCATCATTAGAGAATCTTGTTGTCAGCATCGACCATTCAAATAAACCAAACAGAAGACCATGGAGGCCTCCGTCGAAGACAATCCCTCCAACTCACTCATATAGAATGTATTGAAAATAAGCGTTCCGTTACCACTTGTTAATTTTGCACTCCAATCATGTGTATATATATACTTACTTAAGTGAAAAGAATCCATTTTCGAATTAGTGAAAAAAAAGATCATCACTACAACTCCGTTGCTACTTCCCATTGGTTTTCTTGTTTAAAACTTATTGTCATTGAGGAAATCTTGTACTGTTCCAATTTTATTTTACCATATGATGTCAGCTAATTCAAACAGATTGGGAAGTTATTATATTTTCTAAAACAAAATCAGTACACAATTTTTTGCATGAATTACTGTTGTATTAAATGACATGATTTCTTTCCTTTCGAAACATATTCATTCACATACTACTTGAACATTGTCATGAGTAGTTTTAATAGTGTTTAACCATATTTTGTATAAAAACAAAACGAAATAATAACAGTAAATGTAATACTCACAGGTGTAAATAAACATACCATTAAATACAATGATTTTGCTCAACAATTACTTGAGTAATTCATTCTTTTTTTATACCTTAATTCGAAGTTCTATTAGAAACTTGTTTGTTATTAGATCATCTAAGTGCTGTCAGTCAGTCAGTAACAACTTAGAACTTCGTACGTACGTACATCAGTTCGAGTTGCCACACCACATTAGCACAGAGATGCACTTGTCGATTCAAATCCCGTAGTGGTAGAGGCGGTAAGAGTATAAGCAGTAATCGGAAACATTAGGGTTCGAAGATGTTATTCAAGGAGTATAATACAATGAAATGCATTTGGAAAGAGAAGAAAGAAAGGGACATGAAGAAGTCAAAAGACTAGAATTTAGGAGAACACAAAGAGTGGATGCAACTGCGCCATTGCAAACGATTTTGAGTACTGTGCAAATAAGTAATTTAAAAATCACTATGAAATATTTAGAGAACAATTATTTTTCTAAATAACTTTTAAGCACAACAGTTACAAATCTAAAAGTGATAATATAAAGTATACATATGGAAGTTTTGATTAAGTAGTTAATAGATGTTGTGCATAAGTGATGGATTAAAGTTGATAGAGTTAAATTATATGAATATAATACAAAAAAATACTTCAAATCCGTTGGCCAGACACTATCAACAACAACCTACTGTAGGAGAGAACAAACCAGATCCCAGAGGAGGAAGAAATCAGGAAGAAGTGCTGAAAGTGGATAGGACACACATTGATCTCGTCAGGGAACCCCATAATAAGGTGAAAAATCTATCTAGCGCTTCCTGCTTTCCCAATGGTCGTCTAGGATCAATCAGTTATGTGAAGCCACAAAAACTCAACTATCACCACAAAGCCGCTATACTAATAATAAATCATTGTTTTCTTATCATTAACCAAGGTTGCATCATTAGAGAATCTTGTTGTCAGCATCGACCATTCAAATAAACCAAACAGAAGACCATGGAGGCCTCCGTCGAAGACAATCCCTCCAACTCACTCATATAGAATGTATTGAAAATAAGCGTTCCGTTACCACTTGTTAATTTTGCACTCCAATCATGTGTATATATATACTTACTTAAGTGAAAAGAATCCATTTTCGAATTAGTGAAAAAAAAGATCATCACTACAACTCCGTTGCTACTTCCCATTGGTTTTCTTGTTTAAAACTTATTGTCATTGAGGAAATCTTGTACTGTTCCAATTTTATTTTACCATATGATGTCAGCTAATTCAAACAGATTGGGAAGTTATTATATTTTCTAAAACAAAATCAGTACACAATTTTTTGCATGAATTACTGTTGTATTAAATGACATGATTTCTTTCCTTTCGAAACATATTCATTCACATACTACTTGAACATTGTCATGAGTAGTTTTAATAGTGTTTAACCATATTTTGTATAAAAACAAAACGAAATAATAACAGTAAATGTAATACTCACAGGTGTAAATAAACATACCATTAAATACAATGATTTTGCTCAACAATTACTTGAGTAATTCATTCTTTTTTTATACCTTAATTCGAAGTTCTATTAGAAACTTGTTTGTTATTAGATCATCTAAGTGCTGTCAGTCAGTCAGTAACAACTTAGAACTTCGTACGTACGTACATCAGTTCGAGTTGCCACACCACATTAGCACAGAGATGCACTTGTCGATTCAAATCCCGTAGTGGTAGAGGCGGTAAGAGTATAAGCAGTAATCGGAAACATTAGGGTTCGAAGATGTTATTCAAGGAGTATAATACAATGAAATGCATTTGGAAAGAGAAGAAAGAAAGGGACATGAAGAAGTCAAAAGACTAGAATTTAGGAGAACACAAAGAGTGGATGCAACTGCGCCATTGCAAACGATTTTGAGTACTGTGCAAATAAGTAATTTAAAAATCACTATGAAATATTTAGAGAACAATTATTTTTCTAAATAACTTTTAAGCACAACAGTTACAAATCTAAAAGTGATAATATAAAGTATACATATGGAAGTTTTGATTAAGTAGTTAATAGATGTTGTGCATAAGTGATGGATTAAAGTTGATAGAGTTAAATTATATGAATATAATACAAAAAAATACTTCAAATCCGTTGGCCAGACACTATCAACAACAACCTACTGTAGGAGAGAACAAACCAGATCCCAGAGGAGGAAGAAATCAGGAAGAAGTGCTGAAAGTGGATAGGACACACATTGAGGAAAGCACCCAACTGCGTCAAAGACAAGCCCCCACATGGAATCCTGAAGGCCAAAGAACACATTACGCCGGGAAATGGAAATAGACATGAGAAAAATGAACAAGAATGGGATGGAATTAGAAAAGAAGGCCCAGGACAGAGTGGGTTGGAGAATGCTGGTCGGCGGCCTATTCTCCTTCACGAAGAGTAACAGGCGTAAGTAATTAAGTACAAAAGAGGATAAATGTTACATCTTGATTGATTTCGTAAAAATAATAATAAAATCACACGAATTACTAACGATAAATACATAATTAAAAGTATTTTATTAAGTCATTTCCTGAATAACTTGCCAAATACAGGTGAAATTGTACCTACATTACATAGCTAAAACTATCAAGTCATCTCATTATTGATTAGGTTTGCTAAATACCATCCAACAAAAACAAGGAGCATATAGTCACTGATTGTTAATTTATTCAAAGGGATAAGACAAAGAGTATAACTACTAAGCTTCTCGAAGATAGAAAAGAAAACCTGAGAAACCGAAGCGAAAAAAATCATAATACAATTAAACTCATTAAATTATGCATATTGAATGTATAAATTATAGACTTTAAGCCATAAAGAACTTTTATATGAAAATAAATAATATTCAATCAAAATGTTTCAACAAAATGACATAAAGAACAGATTAAAACTTGTCATTTAAAAGATTGAATTCTTTCAACAGAAGATCTATGGAATATACATTAAATCAATCATTGAAATGCAAGTTGTATTATGGAAATATAATAGGTAAAATTAATCTGATAGATTTTGGATGGAATACACAAAACATTGGAAATAGAGAACAAAATAAACGAGAAACATACATGAAGTTAGTTAGAAATTAAAGATTCTATTTCTTGATACATATATATGTATAAAAGAACAAATGATGAATGTCTATTAAGTAGTAATAATGTCATAAGATAAAAAAAAATTTAAAATCTTATCAACAATTACATTCATATGAAAGTGTTGAATCATTATTTTGTACATGAACTTGTGGGATAGAATTAAATTTTGAATGTTCCATAAATGTTAAACTAGACGAGTGTCGATTACATTTTAAACGATCTGGATCTAATTCACCATTTCTAATTTTAAAAACAAGTTTACGAACACATTGAATAAAAGCTTCTTCGACATTTTCACCAGTAAGTGCTGATGTCTCTAAGAAATGAAGATCATTATCTTGAGCAAATGCACTAGCCTCCCAATTAGTTACATGTCCATCACTATCCTGCAATATATAGAAAAAAAAACTCATTATACTGTCATGTTAAAAAGTTCATTAAAAGATTTGACGGAATATACTTAGATATATGCACCAACTTCAGTTGGATTTTGTTGTTAATGATTTTCAATTCTAGAAAAAAGGCGTTTTCAAAGTTTTATCTGAATAACGTACATTGAGAATTCAATAATCCTGTCACTCATAATCAACACAGAGCCTGGCATAAATGTGTACTAAACCAAGTTGTCATACAATATCAGTTTTTATTTTATTTATTTTAACGCATAAATATTGGTACAAGTAGGCGCCACACAAATCTCATTCGATATGTGTGAGGGCTGTGATACTGCCCAGGTGCTCAAACCGAAGCAGGTGGTTTTCTTAGGGCGCCAATCCCCGAGACTTCGACCTAAAGGTCTGATCCACAAGGCAGTGGAGCAACGTAAGGAGATGCAGTCCCATGGAAGCCGGTGACCAACAATTTGTTCATACGCCATTTGTTCCCGCAGGATACTGGAGCCCATGTGCACCATTGGTTTGGGATCCGGTTAAAGCGCCGAACATTCACTTTTCGTCCTCTCATTTTCGTGGTGAGATGATATGAACAAAACTGAACACTATAGAATTTAAATAACAACAGCATAAATGATAATGCGAAAAACTAAACAATGGACACGATTTAAAATGTATAAACATCGCTATCATTTTGAAGTGATCGTCAGACTGTTTGTTTATTGCGGTGACCTAATAGTCATAACAGTTGGAATACATAATAATAAATTTTTGCGATATTCCAATAATTATAAAATTGTATTTCTGACGTTTAATTACTCCATGTAAGTCACTTCTTCCAACTTGGGATACTTGTTCATTGAAGTCCTTATAAGCCAGGGTGGTCCTTTCAAGAGCAATTGGACCAAAAGCAGCAAATTTACGTCACAAGGGAGTACTACTGGTAGTTTTACTAAAGCTTGATAGCGATATAATGTTTCCCAAACGTAAACGGTATCTCTGGCGATGCTGAGTCCCCACAATAAGAGGGACTAAAAAATCGACCTTAAGGACAGCAAATTTCACCTAGCCCCACACACTGATGAGGACGGTCAGGAAAGTATGAATTTAATGTAACAAAAACTACCTACAAAAAGCCGTGTGTGACCGAACTTAAGTAACTATTACTTTGGTTGTGTGGTTACGTCCGCAATCGTCAGGACTATCTCTGATCTAGTCTCTTTGCCAGGCACCACAATAAGTACCTTTCCATGGCGTGAACAACCGCCAAATGACTAATGCTTCCATATATCCAACAGTAATAATTTCAAACATCTTAAGTAGTTTACATAGTGGTTATTTTTTATTCAATCTGGATGCAATAAACAAGTTAGATAAAATGATTCTGTCGTAGTAACTTGTCTTAACTGAGCTAATTTGTCAATCTAGTTAAAAGAGAGATCTGATTATTACTTAAGTAATACACAAAGCATAGAATTATAGTGTATGCCAAAAACATAGAAAATAAAAATTTGTTTATTACCTGTAAATCTTTTTTATTTCCAACTAGTACAATCATGATATCAGGCGAAGCAAGAGTTCGTGCATCGGACAACCAAGAGGCTAGTTCATTAAACGAATCTCTACTAGTAATATCATAGACTAGCAGTGCTCCAACAGCATCATGGTAATATGAACGAGCCACTGATCGAAAACGCTCCTGACCTTTAATTAAAATTGAGAGTACTGTTCTAATTAAAATATTAATTAGAGGATACAATATAGCGTAAGAATATGTGAGGACTCTCAAAGAATTACATCTATACTTCGCAAATAACTTACTATCGCAACAGACAGAAACTGATCGATTGGATGTCCATTGATCTTAAAATGTTACTACATCCTGATACATCATACTATATGTAAATTCTTTTCTTTTATAAAATTTTGTTTTCCTGGTAAAAAAAAAAAACTACTGTACTGTCCTTATATTTAAAACTCAATTAATTTCACAGTGGATTTAGTCTTATGAGTTACTATCAGTCAACTGTATTGCTAAGCATCATCAACTGATCAGCAGTTTATTTATCTGAATCATAAAAATATGCATATATTGACACTATTGATATATTATTGCTGCAACCATCTTACACCAATCAGAATTTAATGGTTTGTTGTTATATACCTAAATTGCTAGGTTAAAACTGCTTATCTAGCGATATTATTACTTAAAAACTGGGCACTTGTGTGACTATTCAAAATAAGGATGATCTGGATATGATATAATCGGACAGTATTGGTTTGACAGAATAACCCCATAGGCAAAGATGGACATGGTTGAAACGAGTGTCGTGAGTTGTAAAAGAACCTAAAAGAAATTTATGTTCAGTTTACTTAAACATGGGGATGTCCACTTCCTTATTCATTGTAGGTCAGCAAGATTGTTCTGCGATGTACTTGACGGTCGCTCAACACCTAAATCAGATAGGACGTTCAACGTATTTAAGAGGTAAAAAATCAAAGGCGGCTAGACAATCAATATCCCTCAGATTCTTCTGAAAATCCTGACACTCGTTTTATCGCATTCATCTTGATCCGTTAAGTCTCTCACCAGAATTGAAGACACTTATCTACTAACATACATGAGCTTTCCCAAACGATTGCCAGGAGCAGTGCTAAACAAAATTACAGCTAAAAGGATGGTACGCACTCTCGTTGAGCGATAGATTTTACACTGCAGTTGTCCATCAACAATTACAGCAGACAATGGACGCCAATCCGGACCTAAATTATTCCATGCCCTAGATAAACTCTTTATACCCATACTGTTCCGAAATGTATACCTCTTACAAGTTAACGGTATGGTAGAACAACTCCTACAACATCCTACAATGAACGGATACATTTCCACTTCAGAATCAGCAAACTAAAATCCTCACATTCAAAAGGTAACCCTATCTCCGACGACCTGTACACACATGACTTTCGATATTTATCATTTGTCATATAAATTCTTAGCGTACGGATTAACGACTAAACGCTAACAAATGTACCGAGCCGCAAGAAGGTAGTTTACCGACGTCGAACCCGTTGGGTTTAAACCTCTCGTTGATAAAGTCTTCGGATCCCCACTTAATAGTGCTGACAATAGATAGGTTTGTACCTAACATTGATGCTAATCTTGTTAACTTAACTGTACACTAACTGAAGGCGCTCAGTCAAACATTTACATCAGATTACATGATGACCAGTGAAGCATTTTATTTGTTCTAGATGCTCGGTCTAGAAACCCAGCATTAAGCTACCGCTGTAAACAAATAAATTATTCATCGCAACCATCGCGATTTCCCTTCGTTTTAGGGTAATCTCGTTAGAAGGAACTTGCATACCAGTGTTGTCCGGCCCGAGTGCATTGAGGGGCACCAAATGCCCTGGGACGGCCGAGGATTGGGAGAGTTAGCTCTCCCTCTCTAAATGTTCTCACATGACCACGCGTATACAGCCACTACCAGGGAAGTCCTACTCACTGCCTTCTCGCAACACGGGTATTGTTTACGAAATTGAGAGGACGAAAAGCGAATATCCGGTGCTTTAAGCGGGTTGGTGGACATGGAGAGTCCACCTAGGGAGTTGGAACACCCTGGATTCAAACCAATTGTGCACATTGGCTCCAGCATCCTGAAGGAACAAATGGCGTATGAATCAATCATTGGTCACCGGCTACTCTCATCTGCTCCCAGTCCAGACGTTTAGAACGATGGGCGGAACATTTTAGAGAACAGTTCAGCTGGCCTTCAGCTACTCTACAACTACCCTCCATTCCCAGACAAAGTGAATGGAACATTGAAGTAGGTCCCCCAACTCTTGCTGAAGTTGAGAAGGCTATAGTTAATCTGAAACGAGGAAGGGCAGCTGGTCCAGATGGATTGGCTCCAGAGGTCTTTAAGGATGGTGGTCCAATTTTAGCGATTAGGTTGACTAATATTTTAGCTAAGATCTGGGAATTAGACGTTATCCCATCTGACTGGTCGCAATCACTTATCGTCCCAATATATAAGAAAGGGTCAAAATCATCCTGTGACAACCACAGAGGGATTAGTTTAACAAACATAGTATCTAAAATACTGGCCTCGATAATTATCAAACGCCTAACTAAGACTCGTGAACTACAAACACGAGAGAACCAAGCTGGCTTTAGACCTGGTCGTGGCTGCATCGACCACATATTCACCATTCGTCAGGTTCTAGAACACAGGCATACCTATCGGCGTCCGACGATGGTGGTCTTTCTTGACTTAAAAGCAGCATTTGACTCTGTAGACCGCGAGACTCTGTGGCAGTGTCTGTCATTGAAAGGCGTACCTCAGAAGTACATAAACCTTGTGAAGGCTCTTTACTCGAACACTACTAGTCGAGTCAGGGCTTATGGCGAACTGTCATCTACTTTTGCAACCTCAAGTGGTGTCCGTCAAGGCTGCCCACTTTCTCCATTTTTGTTTAACTTCATCATAGACCTATTGATGGAAATAACACTCTCGTCGACTGAATTCTCGGGTATTGATCTCCTTCCAGGAGGTCCACTTATCGACTTAGAATATGCAGATGACATAGTCCTGTTTGGTGAAGACGCTGACAAAATGCAGAGTCTTCTGGTAGCACTAAGCAACAATGCCAGAATGTTTGGGATGCGCTTCTCTCCCTCTAAATGCAAGTTGTTGCTTCAGGACTGGTCTGCGTCAACACCTGAACTAAGGATAGGGAGTGAAGTAGTCGAACGTGTTGACAACTTCACTTATCTTGGAAGTCTGATCAGCCCTAATGGGTTGGTGTCTGACGAAATCTCAGCACGGATTCGTAAAGCTCGTTTGGCTTTTGCCAACTTACGTCACCTTTGGCGGAGGCGAGATATCCGTCTATCAATAAAAGGACGAGTATACTGCGCGGCTGTCCGTTCTGTTTTAATTTACGGCAGCGAAACATGGCCCTTAAGAGTAGAAGACACCCGTAAGCTACTAGTATTTGACCACAGATGCCTTAGAAATATTGCTGGCATCTGCTGGGATCACCGGGTAAGTAATAGTGAGGTTAGACGCAGGGTATTAGGGAATGATGGTAAATCAGTTGATGAGGTTATGAATCTTCATCGACTGAGATGGTTGGGCCACGTATTACGTATGCCTGAACACCGATTACCGCGACGTGCAATGCTAACCGGTGTAGGGGATGGTTGGAAGAAAGTTAGGGGCGGCCAAACCAAAACGTGGCATCAGTGCCTGAAGTCACTAACTTCTAGTCTGAGCCATGTTGGTAGATGCAGACTACTTGGTTGGGGTCCGCGTGACTTTCGTAACCAATGGTTGGAGACCCTTGGTGACATGGCTCAGAATCGATCACAATGGCGTCGGTGTATACACTCTCTGTCTTCTCTTAAACTAAGAGATTAAGATCACTTCACATCTTTCTTTCTACGAACTAATTCTTTCTTCCTATACTATATCCTTATTGCAATCTTTCTCCTATATATTACCACCTTTGACCTAACCACTCCTATGAATCCAGTGTTCATCTTGCTGTGCTAATGAGGTATGGCAACCTGGGCCGATGCATACATGTGCCTGGTCCTACGTTGTAGCTGACTGACACCGGCTACCAAGGACGGCATCTCCTGACGTTGCCTTGTAGATCACACCTTTATGTCGAAGGCTCCGAGTGTGGCCCCCTAAGTAAACCACGGGCTTCGGTTTGAACACATGGGCAGTATCACAGCCCACACACAAATAAAATGACTTGTGTGGTGCATATGTATTTGATGCCCCTTGGCACCAATATTTCTGTTCAAATAAAATGAATAAATGAAATAAAATCTCACACAAATCACTTGATTTGTGTGGCGCACATATATCTGGTGTCTTTTTCTACCAATGTTAACGTGTTTAAATAAATATATTAAATTAAATAATTTAATGATATCCCTAACAGACAAGGTCCAAGGTCTGACAGTAAGTATCCGTTTGATTTTAAATATTATTTATAGTGTGAGCAAGTTTAACAATCGAACGCAAATACTTAGTATATGAACATAATACAAATCAGTATTTACTATTTGCTCACACTGAACAGGTACTTTGGTGATAAAACATACTGTAAGAGTGTGAACGTACAATCTGAAAATGACTACCTGCAGTATCCCATATCTGAATTTTAACAGTTGTCCCATCTACATTTATGATCTTACTGCCAAATTCTGCTCCAATTGTATGAGGCATATTGGGTATAAATTTTCCTTCAGTATATCTTCGTAAAATGCATGTTTTTCCAGAGCCTGAAGCTCCAATAATCAAAAACTTGAACAGATACTTGTATTTCTCTGGTATATCCATCTAGTACAAATGATTATATGTTAGGTGATTGCCAATGCATTCACAGAATTGAATTAGTATCGAGATTAGTTTATATTAAAAGTAAAAACTGGTAAAACAGAAACTGATCTATACGATCTGTAGTCACTAACTGTAATCAGTTTACAATCTACACAGACTAAAAGTAGTCTGGAACAAGTGTACATCTGAGTTACTGTTTTTTTACAAAATAAAAAGGGAAGAACGAAGTGTCCGAAAAAAGCATAAAATAGCGGAACAATTATGCTATAGAGGCCACACCAAAACGTGGCATTAGTCATTGAAGTCACTAATCTCTGGTCTTAGCCATGTTGATGCAGACTACTTGGTTGGGGTCCACGTGACTATTGTAACTAGTGCTTGGAGACTGAGTGATATGGCTCAGAATCGGTCTCATGGGTGTAAGTTTACACACTGTCTCCCCTTGAACTGTGAGATTAAAATTACTTCATACCTTTCTTTCTACCAACTAATTCTTTCTTCCTGTATTATGTCCTTATACACAATCTTTCTTTTATATATTATCACTAAAGTAACTACTTCTATGAATTCGGTGTTCATCTTGTTGTGCTAATGAGGTGTGGCAACTTGGACCGACGCATATATATGTGCCTGGTCCTACGTTGTAGCCGACTGACAACACTGTAAGCACCACGTAGTATCTTTTACCCACCACCATCGACCTCGCGTCATATCATCAGAAGATTTAAACAGATGGATTTGATAACGTTTCTTATAAAGCATTCGAAATCTACGAACAAACAGCGACTAGGATATAGAATAGGATGCTAGGCTTGCAATTATATGCCAAACGGTAAATTGACACAGAGTGGGTCGAAAATTCATACTAACTGGATAAAGGCACTGATGACATTATTGTATTTCGCACATGAAAGCGGTCTATTGTAACAGAAGTTATAGTAAGCAGACTGTCGGAAGGGTTAGTTCGTTGGCTAGCAATTCAGAAATCCTACGTACGTAAATAAAACCTAACCATAAGAAAGTATAGTGCGGGGTAATCAACAAAACTTATTGTATATTAGAGAATAGACGATAGATTGTAAATAATTTTGAATATATACCTAATTAATGAACTCAACTAGCTACAGAGCAATACTAACCCAATCAATCTTTAGAGAATACCGGGGGACTAGGTATGAACCAAGTAGCAACTATTTGTTGATAATGTACCATAATTCAATAAATAATCATTCATAAAGTTCCAAATGATAGCAGATTCTGATTGGCAAGTCTTCGATTACTTACTAGGTTTATCATTCATTTGCGGGTAACGTACTGTGTCTACTAAAATTATTCTCAAACTTATTTGCGTATTTACGGAAGCAGCAACGCTCATATGGCTTCGTTAGCATTTTAGTATTCATATTTTGGCGTTTAACCAACCAAGATGAAGATAGTATGTTAATCCGTTTACCGTAGTTCTTGTATTTTCTTTTAACTGTTTCTTGTCAAACGCATTGTGGCAAGCGCTTGTTCGGGAAATGCGTCTTTGGTGATTAATTATAAAAGCAAAAACCCTGTGGTGGTATAGCCTGACCTTAAATCTCCACAGGATCAAAGATTTTCGTTCAGTAAATTGACAATAGATTGTCAGTACTAATTTTGCAATATGTAACATATACATCAACTATTTTCAAGTAACCATGATCCCTAAAAATAAGGTGATAGTAGTGAAGCATTTATAAAGGACCCAATCAGTTCTAAATTACCGTCAAAGAATATTATTCGTACGAAAATACTCAGGCCACAGAACACCGGTACGCACTTGAGTAAAAAGTAAATTCAAGCAAGCGCTCGCGCTAGGAGATATATTATTTGGCAGAAATACAAAATCCAACCTAATCTAGAAGATATAATGAAATAATTTTCTCCTAATATGTATCTGAATTAAAGTGTCTGGTTACAAGATAAAAAGAGACACAATGTCTAGCGATTCCTCGGAATCCCTCAAATATCCCTTTTTCCATTAGCTTGATTACATGAGGTATTAAGAATTGAAGGGTTTATACTCATTCGAACGCCATGCTCAAGCTCTTCAGTTTGAAGAACTTATTGTCCGTAATGCTTTGTTAGAAACAATTTTGGGGTTACATATTGCAAAAGTGACTAAATCAGGCAAGTTAGTTGATGGAAGGACACAACTTAGAAGAATTTTCGAACTCATACTAACTGGTCAGGAGGATAGAAACATAATGTTCAAAACATGTGCAGAACTCATATAGTCACATTTCGCACTAATCATGAAAAGTAGTTGATGCAGGACGAAATTGTAGTGGTAAATAAACCTCCAAAATAAACAATTCTGTAATACGTTGACAAACTAAAGGGTCTAGAAATTTTGGTCCGTAAAGACTTGTCACTCTCAGACCTTGTAAAAAGACTAGAAGCCAAAAAAGAACTAAACCTAGGTTAGACGCTGGCGTAAAGAGCTTAAAATTTGTAAATTTTCGGGTTGTAGGGCTTTGACAGGAAATGACGTCGAATGCACTATAAGTCCAGCACGAAGCCATTTGAATATGCTCCGGATCTGTTACACAAATTCCTGAAGCGGTCTGAACTAGGTGTGCAGATTGACTCCACCAAACCAGATATAATCTCAGTCACAGAAACTTGGCTGACACTGCCAACGTTTGTAAGAGCCGACGGAAAACTGAGGCGTAAAGGAGGGGAGTAGCTCTATTCATTAGGAATGCCATCCCATTCCATTTTTGGCACTATCCTATGTATATGAGTCAGTTAACTGCAGCTTGAAATGCAAGAGACAATAGCTGCTGATCGGTTTGGTCTACCGCAGTCCAAGCTGTAAGATAAATGAAGCCTTGCTTGACAGTCTCAGTACTTGGTCCCAAAGTGGTCAATGATTAATCCTAAGGGACTTTAATGCACCAACGGTAGACTGGAAAAATCTGAGAACTGAATTTTCAGAAAATTCCTTTGGTCAGAAACTACTTGATGCCGTGATCACATGTACCCTAATGCAACATGTGGAATAAGCGACTAGGTACCACTGGACACTGAATCATAATAACCAAATCTTATATTGGCCAATTATGAGGATAACATCACGAACTTTGACTACATGACACCGCCAGATAAAAGCGATCATGCATTTCTAACTGTGTAGATCATGTCTGTAGAAAGTGTGCACCTGCCCTTGCAGAAATATACTATATTATATAGTTGTCCAAAAGCGAGCACAAGTTAACTTAACTCAGATGTGACGTATGGAAAGCAAATATACAAGATATAATGCAATAAACATCCTCAGTATATTGGAAAATAGAGTCAAAGTCAACAATTGAAACAGCTTGTTACTGCACCTCAAATCCATTGGACTACATCAAGGAGTCCGAGATGCTCTCCACCGCACTTTAGTAAGGAGGTTTTCACTCTTCTCTGTAACAGGAGGACAATGTGGATAACATTTAGGTTGCTGGGTACTGGTGAGACAAATTCTGAATATCGAGAAGCTAGGAATACTTGTGCCTCGACCCTCCGTAAGTCTAAAAGGTTTTACGAAGAAGAAATTGCTAAGGAATCTAATGAATACCTTAAACGCTTATAATCGTATATGAAACAAAGGACAAAAAGGCGATGAAGTATTCCGGCTTAATGAGGAGACAGTAATGCTTTATCATTAACAGACGACGACTATAATAAAAATCAAGTATTCTCAAACTACTTTAGCAATGTATATACCGTAAAAACACCCTTCCTGTCAGTCCACACACTAGACAACGTGGCCATTAAAGAAATCGAAGTCTTTGGCCTGCTAAATTAGCTTGATATAGGCACATCACTGGTATCCGATTAACTACATCTTAGGTTACTAAGGTAACCAGCCAACTTCGTTAGGAACCCCTTAAGTATATGTTTTAATCTATCTGCAACCCATGGTCGTTCACCAAAAACTGGGAGAAGGCCATTGTTAGCTCTGCCTTCAAAACAGGTACTTAGCATAAAAACTGAGGACTACCGACCGATTAGCCTGACTAGCGTGGTTGTTTTAAGGTTGCTCGGAAGTAGCTGTTTGGTGGTGCGCTCTTAAAGACTAAACGTTATCTATAGATGTAGTCCACATTGACTTCAGCAAACGTTTTAACATAGTTTCTCACAACCGGCTGTTGTATAAGCTAAGGAATGTCATGGTTGGGGACAATTAATGTGGATTACACACCTCCTAGTTGGATGTCAACAAAGAGTACGGGTGAACCCAACTTGTCTAGATGGAAACTGTGCTTAGCGGAGTTCCTCATGATACCATTTTTGGGCCAAGGCTATTCCTCTTGTATGTAAATTACCTCATTCGCCTCTTATCACAGTTGATCTTGATATATGTGACGATGTCAAGAGATGGAGAAAGATACGATGTGAGGGTGATAGCGTAGAAATCCAAAATGACCTGAAGAAATTATTCGAATGGTCTCAAACCTGGCAGTTGCCGATAAATACTTCCAGGTGTGTTGTGATACATATCGACCATCAAGACACAGATAAATACACGATGGATAACACTGAGCTGCCTGTCGTCCAGACATATAATGACTTAGGAGTAATCGTTAGCCAAGACTTAAAGACTACTGCACACTGCCGTGCAATAGCCGCCAAAGGTTTCAGAACCTTATGGTCAATACGTAGGGCTTTTAGTCATGTCGACGCTAAAACGTTTTTATCTTTGTATACAGTATTCGTACGTCCTAGGCTTCAGCACACCATACAAGCGGCTAACCCCGCTTAAAAAAACAGAGAGCCTTTTGAAAAGATTCAGAGAACAGCAACTGAGCTAATTCCTGGAACTGAGAAGCTCCCGTATGATACCCGACTAGCTAAACTAAACATATTCCCATTGTCGTATTGAAGAATTAGAAGTGGCCTGATTATAGTTTTGAAATCGCTTAGTGATAAATTTGCACCTGATATGCCCCCACTTTTTTCTTTTCCAAAACATGGAACTTACGAGGACACTCCAAAAGTTCACAAACCCAGAACAAATTACTTGTCAGTTGACTATCGACTTTCCATCAAATCATCAACTAGTGAAATTCATTGCCTCAGCACGCGATTGAAGCTTAATCTGTCGGCTGTTTCAAGAGAACGTTGGATCAACTGAGAGACCATCATTGCCAGGGTTAATACAGACCAACGAGCTTCCGTTCCTTTCCGAATTGAAACTGAAAATTTGATACTGGCCTCGTTAGTTTTAGTGGGTAAATCTAGCTCAATACATTCGTTCACGCATCCACACCAGATCACGAGTGGGTTCACCGTGCTACGCATCACTTGCAGCTGCGAATAAACTCTTCCCAATATATCGACAGCCCCTCAAAAATATCTTTTAACCTCTTATTTTATAACTTCGGATTTGAATGGGTTGGTATACTTCGATCATAAAAAATTGCGTGTGAAGATATTCTCGAACTCCGAATATCTGTGGCATCCTGAAACTTGTTTGGGAAGAATGTTCTCCATATTAAGGGAAGAGCTAAACGACGAGGTAAGATTTCATCACCGCCCTTATAGAAATTCACATACTTGGAGTCAGGTGGAACCAATGCTTAAAGTTTAACAGAGTACTTCAGAGAGACCCATGTATGGAAAATTAAGGCTGGAACATCGCTCATCGGCGCTGCTGAGATACCAACCATCGTACTGGTGTTTAAGTGCCACTAAGTAGTTATGGGTTTATTAACTGACTGAAATTTGTCTCATCGAGTGCTGATGTGTTACATCCCCAGTTTCACTGATCTCTCGCAGGTATTCCTGCGGGCAGGCACAGTTTTGATCCCCCCTCACATCTTTAATCTGTTTCTAAAAGATTGAAGGACGCCATATCTTGCCAATTTTTAGGAATCGAAAGAGACAGATCATGTTGTGTACGGAAAAGTATGAAAACAAAAAACTCTCTTTTAATGCATATATGTAAAAGTGTGAAGTTGCTGGAAGTTGGACTCTTTGTCGAACCCGATCAAATTTATTACCTTGAGCCTATGATGAACAAAACTGCACCCGGGTGCACTCCAATAAGCACAGTCTTCCAGCTAGACAATTTGGAGTTTACCCATACTCTTTGTTCTGCAAATATGCAATAAAAAAATCATATGCTTTTATCTACATTTATTAAAATGAAAGAAAATGTAAGCAAAAGGTGTTTTTTTAAATAGCTTGTTCTGTTGAGTTTTTAAGGATTTTGATTTTTTTGTACTAATTGCCATAGATCATATTTGCGTAAGGATCAAATTTAAGGTCAATTATGAGGCAGCGGTAATACGATGTACAATGAGGAATCGCTTGAGTCCAAATTTACAGATAGAATATTCGGTTTTATATTCGTCTCAGTTAGCCTTGTTATAGTGAGCATTTTGCTTGTATTTTAACAAACGTTCAATAGATCGGTCTCTGGATTTACGTGATAGCATTATCAGATTTAGAAATACTTTTCAGCAACTACGACTGTAATGGCAACGTTTGTGGTAGTGAAAAGAATCTGAAGCCACTTTTGTTTATGAAATTCAACGTTTCTAAGTATAAGTAGGGAACCATACATAGTTTATTTATAGATACTTGCTTCACACTAATTTTGAAGACAAGGTATTATCTGTACCTGTTTGTGTTCAAAGATGTCCGGACCGTTTCATAAACTCTTCGAAACAGCTTTCAAATTTTATAAACTCAACAGGTGTATTCTTGTGTGACCCAAGGATTCCCCCTCTGCTTTATGAGTAAGTTGAACAACATTTTTTTATTATTGCTTCTACAATCTTTTTGTTGTGAGACCTAGTCATCGTGTTTACCTTATCATTTACAAACGTTTTTTCAAGAACACATGATCTATCCGGTGTACGCGCAGAGTTATGTGTATAGAGTATGTTGGTTGAAAACTCTGTCTACTAAATCTTTAAAGATTTCAATAAAGTTTCCTGTTTTAAATTTGTTTCAGTTAAACAATTTCACGTATTATCAACATCTACATATTTGTCTTTTCGAAAGTACTTTCAACCTATTATAAAGTCAGTTGTTGCAAAATTTAAGAGGACCTTCCATAGTACTTGAAATATTCTTCTTCTCGGTTGTACTCCCCTGCAGCACATATGTGATTACTGCCGGTCCTAGGCCTAGGTAAAAGAGGGGAGTTAAATATGGGTTAGCGGTCCCCTCTGTAAAATAAAGGAAAGCAGAAAGCTATCCAGGATAATTAAAAGAACGCCAACATCTTTGATTTGGAGAGTTATAAGACGATTACAATAAGATTAAAACATTAAATATTTCATTAAGTGAAACAATGCGTCATAAGATTTAAAATGATCGAAGACGCCCATAAATAAGGATTAACGGCAGCTAGCCGCCGTCAGAAGTCGGTCTTTAATGCTAGATGTTAAACCATCTCATGATTATCATGGCATAGGTAGTGTTTATGTTTACTTAGTAGTAAGATCTGTGCATTTTGGTGATAGTAATGACAAAACATAGAAATCAAGTTTTTGTCTACCTTTTGCATCTTATTCTTCTTAAAAAGTGATTATTTTTATAGACACATATATTTGTGACGATTAGTTGTTTTCATGTCAATTTGTTGCAAAAACTCACTAAGCGTAACTTAGCTTATTTTAGTTATAAGCTATAATTTAGGCTTGCTTATTCAGAGGATAGTTTTTTGTTTGACTATTATAACGTATGAATGAATTTATATAAGACAGATGTGTGAACAAAACAACTTACAGAAAACGTTTACTGTGTATAATATTTTGAGACTAAAATATTTAATAGCACGTGTTTATTATAGAAACCATAAACTATTTCGTGAGGGTTTTGTGTTTTCCCTGTATATAAATATATTTATGACATTCAATGGTGTATTTAGAAAAGCTTCATAGTTTTTTAAAAGCTGTGTAACTTACAACTACACCTCCTTATTTCATAAGTGTTTCCTCGACATTCAAATCACTCAATAATTTTTTTCATTCAAAAGTTGATGTGTTAGTTTTCTTTAGTTAGTTTAAACGTCCCTACAATGCTGGCATAATACAGAGTCTTCTGAACACCCTCAGTAATTGCCCAAGCATATCTGACGTTTGTTTCTCCTTTTCATGGCGTAAAATTCTACTTTAGAACTAGTTTGTATTATCATTTAGCGTAAGATATTTAAGATTAAGGATAGCTAAAAATGACTAACGAACGACAGTTCTTCTTACATTTTCATCATACGACGATTGAAATTATACCACCTGACCGCTTAGTGTGATAAAACATCATTAGAGGTTATGTAAACTAAAAGCGAATACTTAATTTGGTGTAAAGCACATACTTAAGGAAATTTATTCAAGTGACTTCAGCAGTATGGAATGAATAGAATTTTAATTCTCTTAAAAATTAATTTTATTTGTCATGTAATATGTCGAAACACTGAATGGAATTTTACAATACTCAGTCACAGTCTGACTGGATTACTATTCAACTAAGTACTATGTAAGCAAGATAATGGGCCTTTTTACAGAGAAAATAGGCCTTAAAAATCAATCACTTATTGATCACTATTATTACAGTCCTTTAACACATTATATAGTTCTGCATTTATCTATTATGGCAATACTGAGATGTGTCGTTTTTTATTTTTAAGATAATTAAGTAAACTGCAGACACTTGGATATAAAGCATCAAGAGAACTTTGTAACTGTTCTACGTGCTAATCACTTGTTAGAACTGTAATATGAAAGTGGATACACCTTTACAGCCAGGTTGATACCTTTGACAATATCCTTCTGTAGGAAATCAATCAAACTTGAATAATTTTTGAAAATTGTTTAACTGTAGCGATGGAGTCAACTATATAAATCAATGATGTATTTTAATTTAGGTTTTCATTTCATTTAAAAAGTGAACATTTGATCAATTTCACTTCTTATGATTGTCGTGTTGTATAAAATATTTTCCGTGAATATCAAAAATCGTGAAATTAACATGGATGTATTGAGTTTTAAGATATAGTTCAGTAGTCTAGTCAATTGATTCATATTCCCCAACTCCTAGTTTATGGATAAAAACACACTTTAGTTCATTTTGTCGACGTAAACTTATAGCATCAGTAATTTTTAAGGGTTGTCTATGGCTTACTATCCACTATATATATATTAGTACTCTTTTTGATCATAGGCATGTACTTATTTATAAATAAACGTACTAGTAAATTTGGAACGTATTTAAAAAGAAATAGTATTGTTTATTCCTTAAAAATAATTTACCTATTTGAAAAGCTGTTTATATGACCAGTAAAAGTGAATGGTTATTAGTTGCTATATGGTTATTCACTTTCATACTTATATATTCTTTTGTTATTTAATGAGTGATTGATAATTCTATTGTATTCTGGATAATGTCTATCAAATGAATACAAAATATGTACTTTATCTTATTTGAAACTTACCAGCTGATTAATTCAGGATCCCATTTGTAATATTCGTGCAAAGTTATAGACTACCTGGTTGAGATCCGCGAGTTGATAGCGGCCGATGGTTAGAGACCTTGAATGACATGGCCCAAAATCCCTTTTTACTCTTTCCAAATTTACTTCACTAGATTATGCTCCTTGAATAACATCTTCAAACCCTAATCTTTCCGACTACTGCTTATACTTTTACTACCTCTACCAATATGGGATTTGAATTGAGAAGAGTATCTCTGCGCTGATGTGGTATGACAACTCAACTGATGTACTTACGTACGAAGTTCTACGTACTGAGACTCAAACCTAGAAAAGACTATGTGGCGTTCCAAAACATAATATATATTTGTAAAGTGTTGTATTTTCATTAAATCGTGAATATGGTTTGTGTAATGAATGTAGTGCCATAACTAAGTATTAGAGTTTGTTAGTTAAATTATAGATTTCTTTATAATAAAACTAATTTTACTTGACAATTTAGTTTAAACTTAAACGACAAATTTCATAGAAGAATAACTGATAATCAGAGAGAGTATTGTGAAGATTATAGTAATTTAATAATTGAGTTCATGAGCCATTTAAAGCTAGATCATCATAGAAAACCTGGAAGTATTGAAAAGCCGTTTCATCGTAGTATGTGTTTTCTCAACAGTCCGCATCCACGACTCTGACTCGAGAGATTCAAACCCATGACCTATCAGTCTAGTTTCGATTAACTCATGAATTCAATTATTAAGTAAGCTATATGATTTAAAGATTTTCATTCAATTTTCAGACATAATGTATACTTTCTTTAGGGAATCAAAAATTATAGGAAGAAGGACAGAATATAAAATATATGAATAACTATAGTTAAGATTCATGAGTATTACCTAATGATGCCGCCAATTAGAGAACAGTGAATTATTTACCGGACCAATGACACATAAAACCCATACGAGCAGTCTACCTTCCTTATCGGTCCTGCGTGCTATCTAGTCCTACCTGTGAAGTCCAGAATACAGCCTCCGCGATATGAATCATTTATTTCAAACATATTAAGTTTCTATACAAACCAAACAGACCTTAGCTTACCATAAAACAGAAAATAACATTTGTACAAGATTTAGCCAAAAGTGTCTGTGAATTTGGGAGACTGTAATCAATAAACTGGACGGTATTCAAGAACAGTAAATCGTAAAATAATAGTCTATGTGTCAAGATAAAGCTTATAATAAGAAGAACATGAATATGCGTAGTTTAAGCTACTTAACAATAAAAATATATGTATCGTATTGATCCATAAATAGTTCCTAAACGTTACGATTCATAATTCTCATCAGGATATAACAAGTATCATTAATCTTTATAACGGAAATGTGATCCAATACTGTTTAAAGTATCTTTGATCAATCCATAGTTATATTTAACTCATTCATATCTTAATACATGTATCTTAATGTCCATCTATTTAATTAATTTATAATTTTATTCTTAGATCTCAACCGCGTATTTTAAATGTATCATTATGTCCAACATTACCATTATATCCAACTATACCAATTGGTGGTGTATGTATACCAGTCAATTTTATAAATCATAGCAATTTGCAAATTTTCAATATAATGCGGATTCAGAATTCACTTTATCGTTATATCAAATAATAATATGTGGTTTAATGGGATCAGGTAGGTTTATTGTTTTTATTGTTGTTGTTGTATTTCTTATTACATAAATAAATGAATTTATTTAAAGATGGATAGTGACTAGCAGTGAAATTCAGAACACGCGTTTCGTCTTATTTGAGACTGGTCAGCTGAATATACTTGCATCTCAGAGTTGGGGTTCACTCTGGGTCTCATACTGAATATCGTTCGGTTCAAACGCCATCGCGTTATCCATTTAGCTACTGAGTCCTGATAGCCACTTGCTTGTGCAATGAGGTGAAGTTTTAAATTCACTTGGTATTGTTTGTTTGAATCTTCCAATTGGTGTCTAGGACTGCAATTGATCAGTCTCTTATTGGCACTGCTAACCACTGTCGATGTTTGCATATAATGCTTGTGAGTTAAGGCTATATCGAGGCAAATATGCACAGTACGTACATATACCAATAAGAGATTGATCAATTACAGTTCTAGACATCAATGGGAAGATTCAAACAAACAGTATTAGGTGAAATGAAATTATTGTTTACAATTACATGTCAAGTGATTGGAGGTAATCAACAGGTTGATATCGGTTTTATACTAGTTATTTTGTAACCTGAAATCTGACTCCAGTTAGATCGTATGATTGATTGTTATTGAAATATACATATGCCGTCTATCCTCAGATAAAACAAATTACGTCAGTGAATAATGGAATCAAGTAGGTCAAATCCGAGAATGGATGATTGAATAAGTATATTTTGTACACTCGCTGATCGAAACAGACAATCAGAGAATCGTAATGAATAAAGCGAAGAAAAGACAGCAAAGCGAAACGAAAGGATGCGCAGTGAAGGTGTGTGAGCGAATTCCGTTTAATCAAGCGTTAATCAATGTCTATAGTGACACAAAAATAAGCTACATACATGCGTTGAATGGGATAAGGAGGGCACACATGTAGGCTGACATAAAAACAGTCAAAATTGATAAGTGAATAATTAACAAGGTCAAAATATGACTCAAGAACAATTGATAAATTAACTTGTCTAGAAGCTTGAATAAGCTATGTGGATTTAACATAGCCACCGATACTACAGTTACCACTCATCAGTAGAGTCTGCCTATAATCTTAAAACAAATCGATAGTTATTGGGAAGTTCAAAACTAAATCAACCAACTTTTTATTCTGATATGTTTTCCCTAAGTTATTCAGTGTAACCGATTTGCTATAGGTATGAGATACTTACAACTTGATGGGTAAAGGCTATTTAGAAACAAGAAATAGAAAAAATATCTCAGATCAATATGAGTGGTCACTATGGTGTTACAGAGACTGTTTAATCTTATTGAGGTCACAAACCAATTCAATTCAGACAACAATCGATAATTACGCAACTGGGATCAGAAAAAAAGGTCTTATGTTTTGTGCGCAAACACTTTATCTATCGATTAGTTAGCCAAGATCCAAAAGTGTACGAGTCTTATTTCAATCAACCTGTGATATTGTACAAATATCTCCTATTTTCTTCAATGAGTACTTTCTACACACCCAACACGTTTGAAATTTTCTAGTCACAGTTTCTCACTAAAAATCCGGAACTTTTTATTGAATCTAATCACTAGTGAGCACATAATAATTGTTAATATGAAGTTGTGGAGATTGTGCAGTCTTTTGAAATCACAAACCGATCCATGAAGCACAGGAACTATGTCAAGGGTTCCTTGCAGATTCACTCTTAACCATCTAACACATAAATGCATCAACCTACAATATAAATATTCCTCAACAGTATAAAAACAGAATATCAATAATAATGGAAAAAGTATTTCAATGAACAGAAAATATTTATCAAGAATACTCAGGAAACTTGAGATAGTGGAAAAGATTAGTAGTTCAGAGAACGAAACTCCATCAAAATCACCTACCTGAGCTACAAATCTTCTCTATCATGTCAAAATCCTATGAGCGTGGTGCACTTCTCGTTGTGCGGAAATGGGAGAATTTCGCCAAATGGCAGGCTTCTACTCGAGAACAACTGTATTTTCTCCACGAATGTCTTCATCATCATGTTCTACCAACAAGTGTAAGATACAGACCTCCAATCAACTACCTATTGGGATGGAGAATAGCTGAGCAAAGTGAAAGAAAAATGATGCACTTAATGATAACGGATTCATATTACAGGATCCACAAATACCAACATGTCATAGAGGACCAAAAGATTAATTTACAAAACGACACTCACATCAAAACATTTAGAAATCTTGACAACAACCCATTGAGATATCATGAAAACACTATCAAACCATCCAGTTCAGAGAATAAAACCCACAGAAAACTAAAAACTAATGAATGTTTCTTTAGTTGATCGTTAGAAAAAGAAAAGAATAAACTTTACCAATTCACTTCGTCATGAATAATTCAGTTTCTAAATCATTCACCATTTTAAAGTACACGTTTAAAAAATCAATTACTTTCAGTACTTATTGTAGTTATTTTGACGACCATATCAAATTTTACTATCCTTGAGTGATTATTTAACCTTGAATTACCAATGGTAATATTAGATATCTTTTTTACATATGTTTAAGAGAAGTAAGTAGAATAATACGCCCTTTATTAAAACTTAACTATATTCTCTTTAAGGGAATTTATCAGCTTAAAGATGAATCAAGATGTTGTTTAGTACTTGTATATATCGTCTAATACTTACTTACTTACTTACGCCTGTTACTCCTCGTGAAGGAACATAGGCCGCTCACCAGCATTCTTCATCCAACCCTGTCCTGGGATATCGTTTAATGACAAATATTAATTAGAAACATTTTGTTAGACTTCAAATACATTCCATGCCTAACCACCAACTGCCTCGATGTGCGGTGTTTTGTTGTATAGGAGAGATTGGAAGAAAGCTAGGGGCTGCCAGACCAAAACATGCCACATGTCCATGAAGTCACTGACAAGTGGACTGAGTCATATTGGTAGGTGTAGACTACCTGGTTGGTGACCGCGAGATGATAGCAACCGATGGTTAGAAACCCTGAATGACATGGCTCAAAATCGTTTGCAATGGTGCAGGTGCATCCACTCTTTGTGTTCTCCAAAATTCTAATCTTCTGAATTTTTCATCTCCCTTTCTTTTTTCCCTTTCCAAATTTATTTCACTGGATTATACTCGTTGAATAACATCTTCAAACCCTAATTTTTCTGATTAAAGCTTATAATTTCACTACATCTAGCACTATGGGATTTGAATCGACCACTGCATCTCTGTGCTAATGTGATGTGGCAACTCGAACTGATGTACGTACGTACGAAGTCCTACGTTGTTACTGACTGACTGACTGACTGAAATACATCCCATCAATACTTACCATAACAGTATTAAGTTTTGTAAATGTGTTATCTATTCAATAAATCTACAATCGGTGATACATTCCTAGTTTATGTCATGGGAATTAAGTCAGGCTACACTAAATGACTATTTTGTCTCAGTATGAAACTTTACATTAGTGCACATTTACAATTCTATTAGGGAACTAATTCAAGAAATTTCCCATCAACAGTTGAATGTTAAATCTTTAGACCAAATGAGTCGATATCTATGATTAAATTGAATCAACTCACGATAATGTACACCCATCTTTTGTTTTAACTAAATGATTCAATGTAGATTCCATGCACTTTTTACTGTTTTTTTGTTTCACTATAACTTGAGGAATTACCATTTGAACATTTTAATCTTTGAGTCACCTCATTTTAACATTAAATTAAGATTGATGTGTGAGGAACACGTATTTTCCAAAGACATACTAGAAATATGATTGGTTGAATTTATTTTATTAACACTGTTGGATGACGGCTCAGTGATCTAGAGGTTAAGCAATCACTTGCGAGAAGCGAAAGGTCCTGGGTTCGAGTTCCGCGGGAAGGATCGTGAATGTGCCCTGCTGAGGAGTTCCGCAATAGGACGAGTTAGCCGCCCAGTGCTTTTAGGTTCTCCATGATGGTCTAGTCTCAATCGACTCCTGATCTCAACCATTAGAGTTACAAATAATAATGAATAAAATCACAGAGGTATGAGGGATAATCAAAAAGAGACGGAGAGATATTTTTTGAAAAACGAAATAAATAATATTCAATAAATTATTAATAATAGTATTTTATGACCTCAATAAAGACAACAATAAGATGTACTGCATTCTTACATACAGTTATGACTTTATTTCATGGATAGCAAGAGCTTCAGCAATTTTTTGCGGGAGGGGGTGAATGGATACGAAGAAATTTTGTTAGATTTAAACGAATTCAACCTTTAAAAAACATTATATGTGATAATTATATTTCAAATAATCTTAGAGATTGAAGGGGTTTTATTTATGTAAACATACACACACACATGATCTTTTATTATTGTTAGCTAAACTCACGATGTTGACGGTAAAATGTAACATTGCCGCTTTATTTAACTTATAGCTTTCCATCTCGGTTCACAAAAATTATACTTGTAACCAGTGACTAACTTGATAGCTTTATATGTATCACCGTTACCTAACAAGCTAGGTTGTTCAATGATGAACTGTTGTTAGTATTAATATAAAGAATAAATCAATAACGACAGCCTACAAGCTACTACTGTCGATTTAATATATTTTGCTACTTGTAAGTAGTGTGATTTTGTCTAGATATTTTCATTTCATCTGTCTTACTCAATCGGAAATTTGTATTAATACATTAAAGGTTGAATTACAGTCATGTAAAATGAGCGACATCATCACAACAATATACACATCTAAGTAATATGTGTCACCTTTTGTGTGTATGTGTTTACTGAAGAATCTATATTTTTAAGATGCTGAAATCTTAGTAGATTCATCATTAAACCCAAATGATCTAGCGGTAAGCATACAAGTTTTACTTGTTTAAATTGTTAATAGTTGAAGATGAAATTTCAAATCAGTAGAATAAGTCATCTTTATACAATGCCATATTTAATTATTGAATTGTCAAGATTTCACAAGATGATAGGGGTATACTAATAATGTTAATAACCGCTTTATATTCATTATGGTCATCTGATTTTTAATGAAAAGAAATATATTAAAAAGCTTTTCCTGACATTCACCTTTATCCACAAAAATATGCCGACTATATCTGTTACTATAATATTTTTTTTTAAATTCTATATGAATACATTTGCTTAACCCAATAAATTTAAAGAAATCACCATCCTATTCCTTACAAGACAGACAAAGAGAAAAATATACCGACCATAAAGTTTTTCATTTTGAGTTTTATTGATTTTAAGATAATTAATTAGAACCACCGTTGGAAACCTGGAAGCACTGAACGGCCGTTTCGTCCTATTGCGGAACTCCTCAGTAATGCGCATCCACGATCCCGCTCGCGAGACTCGAACCCAGGGTCTTCAGTCTCGCGTCCGAACGCCTAACCTACTGGACTGCTGAGCCGGCCGGCATCCAATGGTGTTAGTGTCTAACATAAACCAATCCATGAAATTGCGCGACCAGCACTGGATGGTCGTTTCGTCCCATTGTGAGACTCCTCAGCAGTGCGCAACTGCGATCCCACCTCCCCAGCGAGATTCAATCCCAGGACCTATAACAGAGCGCTTAATCACAAAACTGTTTCTGATATCGAAAGATTTATTGTTAATTATTTAACCAAATAATAAATTTTAAGATAGAAATCAAGCATGTGACCACCTATATATAATTATCTAACTGTTATATTCATAACCTTATAAATGTTATTAAACTGGTTGAATACAATGAGTTGATTGACTTGACAGTAGTATAATCAACCCAACTAGGGTCAAATCAAAATATTACGAGAAATATTTGTAAGAAAAACCCATGAAATCAATGTATCTTGTCAATGGTTAGTTCTGTATTTGTGGTTTATGTATGTTATATCTTAGCACAAAATTACAAAGTTACTAGGTACACTAGAAAAACCATACTCTAATACTTCATTTACAAAATATTCGTTAATTGTTTCAGACTTCATTGTTCCTGTATCTCCATACCAATCCCATTCATCCCTTCTCGATTTTTTCAATCTTCTGCTGTCAGATATTCTATTCCTGACTCTCGTTATATACTACTTATGTCGATATAAGTAGTACACACTACATATTTGTCTGACTTTGTATTTACGTGCGTTAAACCATCTGTCTGTATACCTTATATTATCATTAGGTGGTTATAAGGTATCTGAGTTCTCACTAATAATCTATTAGTATACTGCGTTCATTAAACCAGATTTAATCAAATTGTTTTAAACTCCACAACAACAATGTTTATTTTCAAAGAAATAAATGATTAAATACTTAAAAACGTCGTAATTCATTTACAGTCTCTATGACTATAACTATGTCTATACCTATGAGGTTATATGTATGAAATTGATTTATCAACTTGTTATTATCAATTCTGATGATCATCAATTAGTGATTGTAAAATACATTTATATACTGATTAGTTCCAAATGAATATTTTCTGACTTTTCTTATTATTATCTTTTAAAGTTCTCAGCCTTTTGGTAATTGGTGCTGTACGTTTTGTACCAGTTGGATTTTGTACATATATATTTGGTTATACAATATCTGCTTATTCATGTAAGTTATCAAAATGTTCAATACAGTACAATGACAATTTTAATATCAATGGTTAAGATCATGAGTCAGTTGAAGCTAGATCACCATGGAAAACCTGGAAGCACTGGACGGCCAACTCGTCCTATTGTGGGACACCTCAGCAGTGCGCAACCACAACCTCGCCCCCTGCGAGATTCGAACCCAGAACCTACTGGTTTCGCGCGTGAACACAATTTTAATAGTTGAATTTATGAGTCTATTAAAGTTACACTACTATGGTAAACCTAGAAAAACACTAGACGGCTGTTTTGTTCGAGTATTGTACCAGTAGAGTTCAACCGTATATGTTGTAGACGTATTTACTCACCGAAGACAATAATGGATAGTGGAACAATTTCATGGATTGGTTGAAGTTAGATATTAACACCGTTAGATACCGGCTCAGTAGTCTAGAGGTTAGGCGTCCACCCATGAGACTGATAGGTTCACAGTTTGAGTCTCTCATGCGAAATTTTGGATGCGCACTATTGAAGAATCTCGTTCTAGGATGAAACGGCCGTCCAATGTTTTTCTAGGTTTACCATGGTTATCTAACTTTACACAGATTGAAATCATGAGTCAGTTGAAGCTCGACCACCATTGAAAACCTGGAATCACTGGACGGCCGTTTCGCCCTAGTACGGGACTCCTCAGCAGTGCGCATCCACGATTCCGCACCACGCGGGGCTCGAACCCAGGACCTACTGGCTTCGCGCGCGAGCACTTAACCATTAGACCACTGGGCCGGCATCCAACCGTGTTAATGTCTAACTTTAATTGACTCATGAATTTAACTATTAAATAACAATACTTCATTTCGTTACAACACTAGTAATCATAAGGTGTAATAGTGTTTTTTATTACAATAAGATGTATTCATTTAATACTTACTACCATGTTGATAATTATTGCTTTGACATTGTACTAATAGACTAAGACCATTGTCTTGTTTCTATACAGAATAATAATGAATATAAAATTAAATTTCAAATATGTAACAATTGTATAATGTACAGTTACAAAGTTATTTATAAGGATAGAGGTTGGAGAGTAGACAAGAGAGAGAGAGAGAGGGTGAGCGAGAGTGAGTGTGAGAGGAATGTATGTACAGAGATGTGATGTCATTTGATTATAGTTGATAGGGTTGTTTTTTTTTTCTTCTTTCAATTTGTCGGCAATAAAAATTAAAGATAACATCAAAGTTAAAAAGTAATACCAATATAATTAAAGTATTTAACCTAAAGAAAGTAAAGGATACTTAGACTGATGACTAGAACGATACACAAGTAAGATTTATGGTATATACTAAGTAAAAGATGTATTTATGAAATATATAAATGATTATACTGTTGACAATCAATGAATGAATAATACTGTTGAAGTGAATAATAGTTATACATGAAGAATAAGCTAAATAAGTTGATTTTTGATTGGTTGGATATTATTCATACAATTCTCAGTGTAGACAACAACATGGATCTAAGTAAATCTGACTAATGATTTATAAATAAAGCAAAATACGCATACACACACACAATTTATTACTAATCACAATCTAGTTTAGGTGATTAGCTGACGAAAAAGATCAAAACATTGAAAAGTTCATTGATTATTCTGCTGTCTGGAGTCAGTTATTGAAAGGATGAAAAGCGAATATCCGGCGCTTTAACCAGGTTGGTGGACACGGATGGTTCACTAGGGGAGTTGGAAAACCCTGATTCCTAACCAATGTTCCACACGGTCTCCAGGATCCTAAAGGAACAAATGGCGTATGAATTAATTATTGGTTACCGGCTACCATGGGACTGCATCTCCTCACGATGCTCCACTGCCTTGTGGATCAGACCTTTGGGTCGAAGGCTTCGAGTGTGACCCCCTAAGAAAACCACCTGCTTCAGTCCGGACACCCGGGCAGTATCACAGCCCACACATCAATCAAGTGACTTATATAGGACATGTGCATGCCGTGCTCCTTGATACCAATATTTATGTGTTCAAATAAATAAATAATGAAAATCCAAACGGACAGTATTAGCTACCTATTGACTATTAGTAATATATACACTTACTTATTTCACAAGCCCTCAAAATTCTTCAGAATGGTCGAAAGTGAAAGCACTTTAGTCGGTTTGGTCGACACGGAAACTCCACCCAGTATAGTTGGGAAACCCTGATACCAAACCATTAGTGTACACGGGCTTCAGAACAAAAGACATATGACAGATGGTGTATGAACTGATTATCGGTTACCGCCCTCTCCTAAAGCTACTTTAGCACCTGGTGGTTTGGGTCTTTACGTCAAAAAATTCAGGGGCGTTGACCCCTCAGAAATCCAAGTCGTCTGAAAATACTATGCTGACTTTGTTTGGGACATAAAATCCTTTGGTCCCTGGTTGCATCAGATTTAACATGAATTAAACAAACTGAACACCCTAGAAACACAGTTTTTTAGTTAGGTCAATATGTATAAGCGAACAATATTGTTTTAAGTCAGATCTCTACCAGAATTAACTCTAGTACATCCTGGTTATATTTGTATGAATATATGAAGATTAAACAATATATTCTCAGCAATCAGATTTACAAATGAAATACATAACAAGTCACGTTACCTTGAAGTTTTGTTTAAAAAAAAGGAGAACAACCTTATCAGTAGAATTGTGTATGATATTACACATGTTTCTGTAGGTTTTACCCATTTGTTACAAGAGAAAAGTAGTTAAATACTTGACCAATAGAGCTGAGAAGACATTTTCAGATGACGCAATAAATGGGTTACGCTCAAGGGTTTCGAAGAAATCTATGCAAGTAGTAAATAAGAAAACAATTCCACCGACAGCTAATGTGAAACTACTCTTGCTGACGCTACAAAACAACAGAAATACAGTCATTATTATATAATAAGATTGTTTAGAAAGAGATGATTGTGAATCTTTCTTTGACTTGGTTACAAATATTCCATTATTACATCATAACAGTTTTGTTCTACTCTTTCTTTTCATGAAATTTCTTATTACATCCTTTTATTTTGACTGTCTTCCAGATTAGTAATCCCATTTTGATTGACTGAACTTTATTCATTTTATTCTTACTTATTAACAACATTTACTCATTACAGTACCCTTTATGAATGGCAAAGAGTTTGATCAATACTATACACAACTTCTTTCTGTCACATTTTGTCGATAATGTTCAGTTAGTTGATAGAACAATGATTCGGAGTAATTTATCGTTTATCTACCATCTTTTCTTATAGAGTTTCATCTTGTCTCTTACACATAGCAGAAGCTAAAGGGATTCGAGCTAATGACTCAGGTTTTTGTGTTCATAATAAATTTGTAACCATCTTATCACTTCCTTGATCGAGATAGCCATAAAAAATGATTTTACTCATTTTCCAAACCCTTTTTCCTCTCATTTGTCTCCACCACTTTTTCATAAAATTATTTCCGTGTCTACTTTTCTAAGTGTTTGCCTTACTTCCTATTAAAAACATTGATTCAAGCCTTTATAATTGTTGTAACAACTAGTACAACTATCATTACAATATCCACTGTTATCAATAACTCATAAATCGCCTTGATTAGTTTAATACTTTCATATATACTTACTTACTTACTTACGCCTGTTACTCCTCGTGAAGGAGCATAGGCCGCTCACCAGCATTCTCCATCCAACCCTGTTCTGGGCAATCCTTTCTAGCTCCTTCCAGTTGTTATTCATTCTTTTCATATCTGCTTCTATTTCCCGACGTAATGTGTTATTTGGCCTTCCTCTTTCCCACTTCCGCCTGTAGCTCTTCTAGAGTTTCTATCGGTCTCAAGCCCGGGTAAAGGAGGAGGGTTGGGGATGGGGTTAGCGACCCCATCCCGTAGAAAACTAACTCGCTATAAAACGTTAACCATAAAAAATAATTTTCATATATACATAAAAATATTACTGTTTATGCGAATGAAGCCTGATTAGGAAATCAATATTTTTAAGCAGAGATAGATGTTGGTTAACAGTGGAATTCAAGGTGTTCATTTCATCTTACTGAAGATTTGTCAGCTGAATATTGCCTCTTAGCCATTATTCATATCTGCTTAAGAATACTTTTTGATTTAATAATAATATCAAGGCAAACAGTATAGAATGCACATATAATCAAAACAGACCAATCAATATTAATCCTAATCACCAGTTACGTAATCGAAACAATCAATAAACACTATTGGTGAGACTCTAATTTATAGACGACCTTTGAACGAATCTTAAATGACCTTGAGCATATTAGCCAATCAGCAAATAGTCAGCATTGAGTAAAAAGATGTTAGAAAAAACCAAGGAAATGAAGCGGATACACTTCTTATAGGTGGTTCAAAACGTGTCAAGGTTAGAAAAAGTTTCAGAGGTTCTAAAATCGTAATGCATGCAGTAGAGGAAATCATCCATACGGCTACAGAATAGTTGGCCTCTGGTGCCATGATAAGGTCGCAAAATTCTTTCAGCCTCAACCACATAGCTTCAATATTGTTTGTATGCACTCCGGTTGTTGAATGCACAAAATGCTATATGTGGATAACGACACGATGCACATAAACAAGCCTATGTAGGAGTCTGTATGCTCTCCAATCATTCGTATATACTGTAGTACCTGGCTGCAGCCAATGTTACTCGTGCCTTTATTATCCAGTTCGCAATAATTGTCGTAAATTGCCTTAGTTAGGAATTATATATAGGGTTTTCATCACGAACTGACATCAGCTATAATGCCAGAAATTTATTTAGCCAAATGGATGAAAGGTTTTCGCGTTAAAATCCGAGATCTATTATCTTATGCTTGATTGATTCGTCTACGAATTATAGTTCCGCCGTTTTATTTGTTATAGCCGCTCAATTATCACGTTTTGTACAAAATTCCCTGTGAACCGATCGTACGTTAGCATTAAACACTGAAGTTGGCGCCGTAACCTTGAAATCTCTATAACGCTTCTGATTAGCTCACCCATAAATTAGAGTCTCGCAGAAATTTCAATTTACTTTCAAATGTTGTTTATTTTCTATTAAAATCTTAATTTACAATTTAATCACAACATAAAATCAATAAAAAATTGTTTCTCTTTTTTTCTCTTTTTTTGTTTCTAATCAACATTCAATTATGACAAATTGTTGCTGTGATATTAGTATTGATGATTTTTTTAATTGTTCGTCTATGGATTCATATTATGAGTTTGAAATATGCATATTGGTGGAAAAATGATGTATTCAACCAAAGTCATTTATTAAGCCATGTAACATTTACAATTATCCTATGCATTTGTTTATTTATTTTAGTAAGTTATATTAATATACATATTTTGTTTCTGGTTAGCGTTTTTTTTGGTGAGTTAGTTTTCTATGGGGTGGGGTCGCTAACCTTATACCCGACCCTCCTCCTTTGTAGCCGGGCTTGGGACCGGCAGTAACTCTAGAAGAGCAACAGATTGTAGTACTCTTCTTCATGTTTGACATTTATAAATGGCGTCTATAAACAGATGGATACCTCAGAGTTGTCTATATTTATGTGATGTTCGTATTTATCTATAATACGTAATAGTGAAATTCAAGATATATATTGTATACGATTTTGGACTGACTGATTACTCACCTGAGTTCCTGTTTTACTAAACAGTTTTCAAAGTCTGATACTGATATATGTTTCCTATATGTGAAGTCTATCAACGATTGAATTAAGAAAATGAAGTATGATTAGGAAGTTTATATTAGGTAACTTGATTTGAGATATATTTACGACACAATCATTAACATAGATATGTAACTTAAAAAAATTAAGTCAGATTTTCAAATAAAACATTAAACGGAGGAAACACAAAGAAACAGGGTATTCTTAAAAGCGTAATACTCTGGTAACTCGTCGGCCAATAGACATTTCGAAAATGACTTAATATATCAACCAATAAAGGAAAGGATAAATATCTCCAAGATCAGATATTAGATCAGAGGTAAAAACAATCAAAACAAATATGTAAACAACGGTCACGCACCGATGTCTAATCGTGAAACCTTCATAATCTTTCTCAACAGCATCATCAGCACACACTTCGACAAGAAATGAGTTATCTAAAATTACTCAACAATTGGCCAGTTTCTTATTCTGTTGACCTAGAATTTGGTTGGTTGTCGTCCATTGGTGTGTGGCCGTTGTTTACATATTTGTTTTGATTGTTTTTACCTCTGATCTAATATCTGATCTTGGAGTTATTTATCCTTTCCTTTATTGGTTAATATATTAAGTCATTTTCGAAATCTCTATTGGCCGACGAGTTACCAGAGTATTATGCTTTTAAGAATACCCTGTTTCTTTGTGTTTCCTCTGTCTAATGTTTTGATGTTTTCTCAATCGAAGTTATGTTCATAATTTTCCGCATGGATTGATGAAGTTTAACCCCTAGCTGATGTTTATGTAGACGTAGACATAGAGAGCAGTCACTTTGTCCCCAACATCTCAAAAGTGTAGTTGAAAATTACATAAACTATTATATTGGTTGATATTTAATGCTTGGATGTATTAGAAGTTATATTAAACTTGATTGTTCTGTAGAACAGTGAAATTCTAACATTGAAGGTTACTTGGCTAAAGCTATTACATTATTCAGCATACCACACTCCATTGTTTCATGCTTTTGAATCTAATAAATATACCTTAATGTCATCATTTTATTTATCGAACATAAGTCTCACATTTTTCAATTCTTTTGAAGAATGGATAAAACCACTGAACTCAGAATACATAAAATAATAGAAATCATCCACCTGAACTATGAATCTTCTTCCTCATTTTATAATTCAATAAACAAGTACATTTACATATTTATTTAAATACACAAAACATTGGTACAAGGGAGTATAAAATATATTTGCGACACACTTCCTCATTCAATTTGTATGAGGTCTGCAACACTGCCCGGTCGCTCAGACGAGGCAGATGGTTTTCTTAAGGAGTTACTCCCCGAGTCTTTGACCTAAAGGTCTAATCCACAAGACAGTAGCTATTCGTTTTCTCAGGATCCTGGAGCCTATGTGCACCATTGGTTTGGAATCAGGATTTTTCAACTCCTTTAAGCCCTCCATATCCACAGACTTTATTAAAGCAACGGGTATTCACATCTCGTCCTCTAGATTTCGTAAAAAAACAATCTTGCTGCAAAAGGACATTGAGTAAAAAATTTCCTGGCAGTGACTGCATACACGTGACCATGTAAGAAACACTTCAAGAGTGATAGCGAGCTCTCATCACTCTCAGTTGTACTAGCACATTTCTATACTAGTTTGATGATGAATCATTATCTTTGAACAAGAAGGATCATATGCAGATATAAATGCGACGATTGACGAAGCAATGGACGCATCCCTACAATTCAACAACACATGCATCTCAAAACAACTGTCTATCAAATAACATCAAAGTCACAATATTCAATACGAACGTCAACACAGTTCTACTATACGGAGATGAAACTCTATGAACTGCTACAACCATCATCAAAACAATACTAGTATTTATAAATTATTGTCTACACACGATACTCAACATCCATTCTCCAAATATCATCAGCAACAGCCTACTGTGGAAGAGAACAAACTAGATTAAAGATGAATAGGAAATTAGGAAAGAAGATGGGAATGGATAGGACATACATTACTGAAATCATCAAACTACATCACGAAGCAATCCCTAACATGGAATGCTGAAGAGAAGCAAACAATTGGAAGGTCAAAGAATAAATTACGTTGAGAAATAGAAACAGTTATGAAAAGAATGAATAACAACTGAAAAGAACTGGAAAGGATTGTTTGGGTCAGGTTTGGATGTAGAGTGTTGGTGGTTGGCCTATAGTCCTCTACGAGGAATAACAGGCGTAAGTAAGTAAGTAAGTTGGTGATGAATATTTCAAGAACAAGAGATAATATTCAACTCTATTCATTGTATACTAATAGTAATAAGATTTCAAATGACAAACAAATTAGTTCCAACCTAAATATTTCAACTAGAAAAAAAAAGTTATTTAATTTGTTGTTATGCATTTTTAATGTATCCACCTTTTCATTGTTTTTGTTTTGTTTCTTTTTTTCCTTCACCATAATTTCTATCCATTAGATATGCATCATTTGTTTAAATTCATCATTGAGAAATTCAACAAGTCAATGGCAAAGTACAATACAATTTATTGTTGAAGCATTATTTGTATTATTATCAGATTGTTTAACTGAATTATATGGATTCATAATTATTATGTTAATCATAATAATGATAGGAAATAGTTTATTATGCTTTCTATCTGTATATAGTTTATTACATATATTTGCTATGGGTAAGTTTTATCATATTAACATGTGGTATTATTAAATTATTTCTTGATAAAGTGATAGAAGAGCCTAGTTTGACACAGATTTTTTTGTGTGTGTATATAGGTACTTTTCAGAAGAGTGTATCTATATTCTTAAGATGACTGATGCCCCGCCACCACCACCCTTTATAATCTAATTATGAGATGGTGGAGAAGATTTGTAGCTCAGCTGGATAATTTTGATGGAGTTTTGTTCTCTGAGTTGGATGGTTTGGTCGTGAAGCTTTCATCGTTCTACTGAACAACATCGTCAGCACAAACTTCAGATTCTTGGTCCTTATAAGAACCAATCAACGTCGATGTGTACAGAACAAGCTGTGAAACGCATAAAGAGAAATTCGAACACTTCACTTCTATTTGAAGTTTGTGCTGATGATGTCGTTCAGAAGAACGATGGAAGCTCCACGACCAAACCATCCAGCTCAGAGAACAAAACTCCATCAAAATCTAATTATCCTATATCATGTTATGATTGAGCCCTTTAGGCAACCATTGTCGTCTTTTAGGATCGAGAGATATCCATTAATCGATCACTGAGTAGCAACAAATGTTATTATATAAATATATATTTAAAAATTTCTTAGTTATGAGTAGTTAGTTACGTAGCCATCATTCACATTATCTTTAAGGATACAAGTGTTTAAAATGATAGATGTATATCTAATCTAAAGTGTGATATGTTACTTTTTAAAAGTTTACAATAAAGTTGATATTCAAAAATTGTTAAATGGTGACATTTATAGTAACAGTAATATTATTATTCTATCGTGATTGAATTTGCGAATAATCTGTAAAATCTATCAACAAATGACAGATATAATTGATTAACTGCTAATCGGAAATATTAGGGTTTCAAGATATTATTCAAGGAGTATAATCCAGTGAAATACATTTGGAAAGAGAAGAAAGAAAGGGACATGAAGAAGTCAAAAGACTAGAATTTAGGAGAACACAAAGAGTGGATGCACCTGCGCCATTGCAAATGATTTTGAGCAATGTTATTCAACATCTCTAACCATCGGTTGCTATCATCTCGCCGTCACCAACCAGGTAGTCTACACCTACCAATATGACTCAGTCCAATTGTCAGTGACTTCATGGATTTGTGCTATGTTTGGTGTGGACGCCCCTAGCTTTCTTCCAACCTACTCCTATACAACAAAACATCGCACGTCGATGCAGTCAGTGGTCGGGGTTATCTAACACGTGTCCCAGCCATCTCAACTGATGAAGTTTCATTACTTCATCAATTGATTTGCCATTCTTACCTAGTACCCGTTTCCTAACAACCAATTTACTTATCCGGTGGTCCCAGGATATACGAGTGATGTTTCGAAGACATCTATGATCGAATACTAGTAACCTACGAACATCCTCTACTCTTACCGGCCATGTTTCACTGCCATAAAGTAGGACGGCACTAACTGCTGCACAGTAAACCGTCCTTTGGTTGGTAGACGGATATCTCGCCTACGCCATAAATGATGCAAGTCGGCAAAAGCTAGTTCAGCCTTCTGTATCCGTGCTGAGATTTCGTCACACACCAGACCACAAGGGCTGATGAGACTTCCAAGATAAGTGAAGCGATCGACACACTCAACTACTTCACTCCCTATCATTAGTTCAGGTGTTAATGCAAGCCAATCCTGAAACGATATTTTGCATCTTGAGGGGGAGAATCGCATCTCGAACATGCTTCCATTGTTGCTTAGAGTGGTCAGAAGACTCAGCATTTTGTCAGAGTTTTCACCAAATAGAACTATGTCATCGACATATTCTAAGTCAAATATTAAAGGTAGTTAGATTCAGGAAATCGTGCATCTGGGTCTTGTCGTGGTAGGCATTTATAACTAAGATTTATTGACATATCTGAGCACAATAATAGTTTTAAATAGATTCTAAACCACACCTATCATTGTTACAATCTATGACCCTACCTTACTATGATTGACTTTGTGTACAAATCAAATGTTTAATAGATAACCATCAACCAGTATGAAATGTTTTTGGTTTAGTTGTGTTCTCTGAGTTGAATAGTTTGGTCATGCAGCTTTCATCCACCTGAGTTACAAATCTTCTCAACCACCAATATGAAATGTATTCCTTATACTTCACATTGATCTTAAGTTGAATAACAGTCTAAACAAGTTACATGTTTAGTCTATTATTTTTAAATAAATTTACTTATGTACATAGTTATATTTGTATTAGTTTTGTAGTCAACTATTAATCCAAGTTTATCTTTCTTCATATTCAATAGTAGTTCTTGTATTTTATAAGATAAAGTTAAATAGATATAATCTATTTGTTTATAACTACCATGGTGATTTACCTCAAATTACTTCATACATACATACATACATACAAACATACATACATACATACATACATACATACATACATACATACATACATACATACATACATACATACATACATACGTACATACATACGTACATACATACACACATACATGCAATTCATTATAAGATATAAGACAAGTGTGAATTTATATTATAATCTGTGTTACGTAGATGTATTTCCTGTACGACTAATTATATTATGATAGCTATAAAATGAATAGAAATCAGTTGAAGAAAACTGTAATCTTTCATACTACTTAATTTATATCAGTATTCAGTATGTTTATCTATTATGATTGTTTCCATGATCAGTGATTGAAGTCATTGAGTGACATGACTTAGGATCGATCATAGTGGCCCAGATACATTTAATTTTTATCTTTCCAATTGTTTTGAGTTCCAGTGTTCCTCTATCCATCTTCCTTTTTCTGTCTTTTAGAACCATATTCCTATTGGTGGCTTAGACTTTCTTATTGTGATTATTACCATATTGTTTTGATTCCCTCACTATTCAGTGTATTCATTTCATCATGTTTTGTTTAAATGGTACGATAATCTAAGTATCTGTACAACTGTACTATGCCCTATGTTCATTATGCCTAACTTGCATACTTAAACCAACCACCAACACTCTACATCCAAAACTGACCCAAACAATCCTTTCCAGTTCTTTTCAGTTGTTATTCATTCTTTTCATAACTGTTTCTATTTCTCAACGTAATTTATTCTTTGACCTTCCAATTGTTTGCTTCTCTTCAGCATTCCATGTTAGGGATTGCTTCGTGATGTAGTTTGATGATTTCAGTAATGTATGTCCTATCCATTCCCATCTTCTTTCCTAATTTCCTATTCATCCTCAAACTGGTTTGTTCTCTTCCACAGTAGGCTGTTGCTGATGATATTTGGAGAATGGATGTTGAGTATCGTGTGTAGACAATAATTTATAAATACTAGTATTGTTTTGATGATGGTTGTAGCAGTTCATAGAGTTTCATCTCCGTATAGTAGAACTGTGTTGACGTTCGTATTGAATATTGTGACTTTGATGTTATTTGATAGACAGTTGTTTTGAGATGCATATGTTGTTGAATTGTAGGAATGCGGCCCTTGCTTCGTCAATCGTCGCGTTTATGTCTGCATCCGATCCTCCTTGTTAATCGATGATGCTTCCCAGATACGTGAAGGGTTCCATATAATCCAGGGTTTCGCCATCAAGTGTGATTGAGTTGGTGTTTTCCGTGCTGTATTTGAGTATCTTGGTTTTTCCTTTGTGTATGTTGAGGCCTACTGATACAGAGACTGTTGCTACACTAGTTGTCTTCATCTGCATTTGTTCTTGTGTATAGGATAAGAGGGCTAGGTCATCTGAGTAGTCTAAATCGTCTAATTGGTTCTGAGTTGTCTTTTGTGTTCTATGTTTTTCCTCAGATGTTGAGCACTTCATAATCCAGTCAACCACCAGAAGAAAGGAGAAGGGGGGGAGAGTAGACAGACTTGTCTGAATCTCGTAGAAAACTAACTCGCTAAAAAAATTCTAATCAGAAGAAAACTACGACTAACTGATCAGCAGAAAATATTCCTTATTTTAAAATGCACCACCATTATCTGCCATTTCTTTTCCAGTTTTAAGCCAACTATATATATCTTGGATTTTATCAGGATCTAATATAAACTAACTGAAATGACATAGATTTCAATGACATATTTAATGTTTTCTTTTGATTGACATATTATTTATGAATACTTATATGGTATTGTCTTAACAACGAAAGTTTTTTGATTGATTTGATGTAGAAAAAACATTGAAACAATGGCGTCAAATTCTAAATCAATAAGAAAAATCTACTGAATATGAATTTCTGGAAGGATTTACATACTACTAACTAAACCAAAGAAAAAAAAGTAGTGTAATTTCTAAAGAATTAATATATCAGATATAATTTAACATGGTTCAAAGGAAAGATTGAAGTTTTAAGATTCAACTTCATGATTAATATTTAGTATTATAAGTAACGTTATTAACGTTATCTATTCGTATACCCATTTTTAATGCAGGGTAGTTATTTATTAGAAACAGTGACCAGTTGGAGTTCAATCTCGTCTGCTGTGAGATAGTTAGTCACAGAAGACAGTCGTGGATGTGTCGCTCAATTTCATGCATTAGTTGAAGTTAGACATTAACACTGTTGGATGCCGGCTGGCTCAGTGGTCTAGTGATTAAGCATTCACGCGCATGAAGCGAAAGGTCCTGGTCTCAAATCCCGCGGGCTGGATCGTGGATGTGCACTGCTGAGGAGTCCCACAGTAGAGCGATTTAGCCGTGAACTGCTTCCAGGTTTTTCATGGTGGTCTAGCTTCAATTAACTCACGATTTAAACTGTTAAAATTACTAAAATTTCCACAAAACCGTTTCTAATATTTACTTTACAATTGTTTCATTTCATACAGTGTTTTATTGACTGTTAGATACACATATGATATCGTCGTTTGAATCTTCTGTAGGGTTATAGGTGTACAATAATAAGTTGTTCAAAAATAGGATAAAACAGACTTCCAATAACTTTTCCACTTTTGTTTTGTAGTTCTTTAAATAGTATCAGTTTATCCTGAAGATTATCTCCTAATTTACTGACTGTTTGACAGGAACTAAGCATTGTAGAATACTTTTCAGTTAAATCTAACTTCACTAGTACATGTTATATGTAGATACTACTTGGAATTTTTCTTGTAAAATGGTAGTACATTAGAGTTCAGACATTTTTTTTTTACAGAAAATATATATCGGAAGGGGTTCTGTTGAGATTTTAGAAATTTTAACGGTTGAAATCATGAGTCAATTGAAGCCAGATCACCATGGAAAACCTGGAAGCACTGTACGGCCGTTTCGTCATAGTACGGGACTCCTCAGCAGTGCGTATCTACGATCCCGCACCCCGTGAGATTCAAACCCAGGACCTATCAGTCTCGAGCCAGGCGCTTACCCAGGTTTTCCATGGTGGTCTAGCTTCAATTGACTCATGATTTCAACCAGTAAATATATATGACTAGATTTTATTAGCAGCATACTGATTATTGTAAACTTTAAGCATTGATATGAGATTATGTAATGATTAACTGTAACATTCAAAAAACAGTGACGCCAGTCATCAGCATTGGATACATTGGATCAAAGTAATGTATATGTCATGTTATCATTACATCTATTCTATCGGAAGTTTGTTGTCTTATACTTACAATACTCTAATATATTTAGAGTTGAATAATCTTTAGTATATTGACTTTATTTATTGTATACTTGACTAAAAATGAACGACAAGTAGAATTTCGTATTCAATTGAATCATTTCAACAAATTTGGATCAAAGTTACTTAATTGAATTATATTATACAATATTGTAAGACTATCACAAAGAGTAATAATGGAAATATTGTTAAAAGATATAATTCTAATTTTACAATGAAATTCATCTTTTGAGCAATTCACCTTTCTTCAATGGATAGTCTATATGTAAAGAGTTTTGTATATATATAGAGGTCATATAAGAGAAAGTAATAGAGTACCTGGTGAAATCCCTGTACTTTTTAAACATTGTTTGTTTCATAAGCGAAAATGGATAGTGGATAGCAGTGGAATCGTCTTATTTGGGACTCGTCAGATGGATGTACCTGCATCCCAGAGTTGATGTCCACTTTGGAACTCGAACCCGGTATCGTTCGCTTCAAACACCATCACGTTATCTACTTGGCTGCCGAGTCCTGATAGCCAATTGCTTGTGCAATGGGGTGTAATTTGATTCACTTGGTATTGTTTTATTTGACTGTTCACATTGATGTTTAGGACTGCAATTGATCAGGCCATATCAAGGCAAGACATACAGTACGCACATATGTCAACAAGATACTGATCAATCGCAGTTCTAAACATCAATGGGAAAATTCAAGTAAACAATACCAAGTGAATTGTTTGTTTTCTTAACTTTGAGTATTTGTTTGTTCGATATCAATAATAATAGTGATGTGTACAGTGTCGGTTTTGGGTCAGACAACCTGGACTAATTGAATGCTGATAATCAGCAGTGAATATGATATTCCTTGATAGTAGATGATCTTTCAAATGTAATATGTCTTATATTAAGGGAAAGGTTTTGTTCATTACACTTATATATATATATAGGCGTTGTTACATAAAACGTACATTAATATTCATTGGGAAATTGCTTCACTTTACTTACACCTGTTACTCCTCGTGGAGAGGCATTAGACACCCACCAGCATTCTATATTCAACCCTCTCCTGAACAATCCTTTCCACTTCTTTCCAGTTGCTATTCACCCTTTTTATGTCTACTTCTAATTCACAACAAAGTGTTCTTTGGCCTTCCTCTTGTCCGTTTTCCATCGGGATCCTCGTGAAGCAGTTTGATGATTTCCGCAATGCATTTCCTATCTACTTCAAACGTCTTTTCTTGATTTCCTCTTTAGCTGGGAGCTGATTTGTTCCTTTCCACAGTACGCTGTTGTTGATGGAGACTGCCATCTGTATGTATCTACACACCGTTGTTGTGATGTGACAATTCAAGCTGTTTTTGAGCATACAATGTTTGAAACTCTTCTGTTGATGTAATCGTTTATTGTCTATAGCAGAGTGGGTTTTGTGGAGATTTTTAGAAATTTCACATGTTGAAATCATGAGTCGATTGAAGCTAGACCACCATGGAAAACCCGGAAACACAGGACGGTCATTTTGTCTTAGTACGGGACTCCTCAGCAGTGCGCATCCACGACCCTGCACCATGCGGGATTCGAACACAGGACCTATCAGTCTCACGCGCAAGCGCTTAACCATTAGACCACTGAGCCGGCATCCAACGGTGTTAATGTCTAACTTCAACCAATCCACAAAGTTGCGCCCCGTATACCATTGTCTTCAGTGAGCTGATATCTCACAACAGACCTGGTTGAACTCCACTAGTAACGGCTTCCCACTAGAAATCCAGGAGTATCTCCTGAAGTGAGTCACTAGTGAGCAGCTGATTATTATCAGAGTGAGTTTTGTGGAGATTTTTTAGAAATTTCACAAGTTGAAATCACGAGTCAATTGAAGCTAAACCACCATGGAAAACCTGGAAGCACTGGACGGCCGTCTCGTCCTAGTATGGGACTATATATATAGTCAATTAATTCTTGATCACTGTAAATAATCATAAAACGTTGTATTTAGTCATTGTGAATATTAAAAAAACTGGGTTCTTTAAATTAATAAATTAAATTTTGACTTTTAGAATGTTTATTTAACTTGTTTAGTTTAGTCCATCATCTGATGATTTTTGTACGTTGCAAGTGCAAAACCTATTGAAATACATTAAGTGAGTTATACATCTAATTTGTGCCAAAAAATTACGAGTTTTATCTTGGCAACAAAACAATTTGATTAAGATTATAAAGAGATTGATGTTAGACCACTATGGAAAACCTGGAAGAACTGGAAAGCCGTTTCATCCTAGTATGGGACTTTCCATCATTGCGCATCTACGATTTCGCCGCGCGAGATTCGAACCCTGGGCCTATCAGTCTCGCAAGCGCATAACCTACATCTCTAGAATACTGAACCGGCATCCGACGGTGTTAATGTCTAACTTCAAACAACCCACGAAAATGCGCGACCGGCTAATTGGTCTAGAGGTTAAGCTTTCGCTCACGAAACTGATAGGTCTTGAGTTTGAATCTTGTGAGCGGGATTGTGTATACACACTGCTGAAGAGTTCCACAATGGGACGAAACGTCTGTCCAGTGCTTCCAGGTTTTGAATGTTAGTCCAACATCACTCCATTCATGATCTCAATAAAAAAGCAACTGAATAATCTCCATAGAACTATACTGAGAAGAATTCGACATTTTGTACAGAAAAACAAAATGACATATTATTATTCTTTACTCATTTTCTTAGTTGAACCAATTCGATTGAAATTTACTGGATGTTTGGATTTTCGACAAATCGGTTGGATTCAGTATGGATTTTTACCTGTATATTTATTATATTGTATATGGATTATTCGTTTTTATTCAAGTTTTTGTCAAATCTTTACAACAATATTCATTTCTAATTGGTAAGTGGCTAAATATTTATTGATTGTTGTAGAATATTGTACCTTTTAGTAACAATGATAAATTTAAATACAATGATGATGACATTGCGTGCACTATGCTGAGATAAGATGGTGGTTGGAGATAGTCGTAGCCCGGCTAGCTCAATGGTAACGTCTCTGACTGTGAAGCTGGGTGATACGAGAGTGAATCCGTCAGGAAACATCAGCTCTCTCATGATTACAGGTACACCTTGCTGATGAGGGCCAAGTGGCATGAAACCAAGGTTCAGGGTTCCTATTGACTACATTCAATCACCATCTTAATGACGATGAAAATAAAAATTTCCCAATCATTCAGTTGTATCTTAATGTGTGATGTAATATGTTTAGCGTAGCCATTTGGATGACTCTTCCGGTCTCCCACATTGTACAGGCATTCCATGTACCTAAATTAATGGTTACTCTAGTTGTCAGAAGGGGCATCAGTCTCGTGACTTCCGAAGGAACTCGGTTTTCACCATGAAGTGTCACAACTCTTCTAAATGAAGACCTCCTAACTCCCAGGGCAGAGTTTAAATGGTTTGAATTATTTTTTCTAGTTAGCGTTTTTTAGCAAGTTAGTTTTCTACGAGATAGATTCGATAACCCCGTGCCAAACCGTCTTCCTTTATCCAGGTTTGGGACCGGCAGTAGCCTCAGAGGGGCTTTAGGCAGAGGTAATATATTTGGTAAGAATATATTTTTTTGGTATTTATCTATAATGAGATAGCTTACTTCTTAAAGTAATGAATTTGAATCGTTTTTCATCTACCCAGCTGTAAATGGCATGACATATTGTTATGACACAATTACACAACGATTAGGATTCGTTACAGTACAGATGACACAATGAGGTCAAAAAGTTAATTAACACATTTATAGTGAATAAAGATTTGCTATATCTCCAGTTCAATTGATAATAAAACATATTTGTGGTTCAGAAACTTATAGCATAGCATACAGCACAATGTAAACTTGATTGAGTGAAACTTCATATGTAATTAAAAGTTTTCTTCCCTAACAAACTTTTGATCAGTCTTAGCTGACATATATACATTCTGTACCGATTAACCAGATACACTCATATTTGTTACAAGTTTATTTTATAGAGTCCCGGTGTGAACATCAATGATCATCTGATTAACTACATTCATCAACTGACTTTTCTCGATTAAGATCATGAACCGATTGATGTCAGACCACCACTGAAAACCTGAAAAGACTGGAAGATTGTTTCGTCCTATTATGGGACTCCTTAGCAGTGCACATCCACAATCCCGCCTCACGATATTCAAATTCAGAGCCTTCAGTCTCTAGCGCGCGAACGCTGAACCTCTAGACCATTGATCCGGCCGGCATTCAATGGTGTTAATTTCTAACCTCAACCACAATAGGACGAAACGGCCGTCCAGCGCTTCCAGGTTTTCAATGATGATCAAAAACTTAAAAATCTCCACAACCCTATACTGAAAATTAAAAAAAAAGAAAACTTTTGTTCTAAATGCTCATAAGACTGATGATATTCATGTCAAAATATGCGGGTTTTTTTTGTTTGTAATTGAAAGGAGTAATAAAACACAATGTAATAAAAAGAATTTTCTCTAAAAATTGGATACCACAGTTGTGTTTTCTTTTTACTTTTTATTTAATTACTCAAATGAGTCAGATAATTTAGGGCGTTTGCATTTTTGTATTTGAATAATTATGCCAAAACAAAAAGAAATGATCTCTATGACAGATTTGTAACATGGTCTTTATCTTGTAAAATAACCATAGTGATTAATTAATTAATTAATTATTCAGTAAATTATTGGTATTCAATGTGTAAAATGATAATTATTTCATATAGTACAATCTAAATACATTTTGTTAGTATCGTTTGTTAGGTTACTGGTATTTATCTATGGGGCATTAACAATAAAATGAATGTAGATCACTAACATAGATGATCTATGTTGAATGATTGGGGGGGGCTACTTGAATTAGACAGGAATGGTGTGACGGAAAACTAATTTCAAAGTCACATCCTAATGGTCAGAGCCTAACGTGAATTATCCTTTCGATGTATGAAGGTACTATGGCTGCTTTGAAGACAGTAAAACATTAGGGTAATATATGATTAAGAACGAGTACAGAGAAGATAGTGAGACCATCACTGCATGGGCTAGTCCATGGCATACGATTAACTGATGTGCGTTGGTTGTCCTTGGCCTTGACAGGGACCGATGAACTGTTCGGTATTCAGTAATCCAACTGTTGGATGATATCACTGTGGCTCAGTGATATTTCACTGGCCCTATATGATCAGCCAATTTTATGTCATGATAATAGTATCAAAATCAAGTGCATTCAAATTTCGATATATCATAATACTTTTTCAATAGGTTAGTTATCTGTACACTATTATGCAATTTGAAATGGTTGGATACAATCTTCTAAAAACACTCGACCTTAGTTTCATGCTCCCTGAAACAATGCTCCTTTGAGAAGAAAAACGAGTCAAACAGCGTCGAACTTGATACATCATTCCTGAGATATTGTGACCATGACTAAGCCTAGATTCAAATTTTCTTTCCAATCAAACACAATGGTTTAGGTGTATACACTCTTAAACTGTGAGAATAAAATTGCTTTATAGCTTTCTTTCTTTCTGTACTATATCCTTATATGTAATCCTTTTTATATATTACCACTATTGAATTAACTACTTCTACGAATCTGATGTTCATCTTGTTATGCGAATGAGGTATGACAACTTGGTCCGATGTATATATGTGCCTGGTTCTACGTTGTAACTGACTGACTGACTGACTAACAGCATTCTACCATGTGATTTATATAAAAATAAAGCAAATGATTTAGAAATTTAAAATCATGCTTAATTGACAAAAGATTTGTTCATTATCAATATTTCAGTTCTGCATCGCCAAAATTATGATACTTCAACTGATTTGCTCTAGTTTACATACATTATAATTTGTGAGTTTGGTTTAAAGAGCGAGAGAGAGGAGGATGTGGAAGGCTGTTATTTGGACTTTTTTTCACTTATTTACTCTAAAAATAGTAAAAAAACAATGAGAATAATAGTAGTTGTTAGTTGCTTTATTCTAGGTACATACATTACATATTGATGTAGAATTGAAATAGGTCATTCATCAAAGTTGTCATCTAAACATCTAAGATTTAACGATTTCGCTGAAGATATACTATGAAATTGATTCATATCAAAGATGAATAATGTTCTAAATGAAAGATCATTATATCCAATTCCTGTGTTACTCCAACTTGGGCATATGTTGAATTTATCTGGAATATAAATAAAAGGCTAGAGCTACAAGGTATCTTACAATTCAATGTTAATTCATCAGTACTTAGTAGGGTCACAACATTACAAATTCATTCGAATAACAATATAGCATGAACTATTAGTGACAACATGAATAATACTTCTGGTTTACTAAGTAAATTTCGACATTATATTTTGTTTGATCAAACTACTTTTCCAATGATTATTCTAATAGGATTATATGTTCATCAAGAAACTAAAGTTCTAAAAGTTTTAATTCATTTTGTATTGGCTATTTGAATCTTCCCATTGATGTTTAGGACTTCAATTGATTAGTCTCTTATTGGCCTATGTGCATCCTATGAGGATAACTTCGATATTGCCTGAAGTCACAAGCAGTATAAGTAGAGATGGATGGTGGCTAGCATTTGAGTTCACGACGCTCATTTCGTCCTATTTGGGACCCATCAGCTGGATGTACCTGCATCCCAGAGTTGATGTTCACTCCGGAACCTAAACCCAATACTGTTCGCTCCAAATGCCACTGTGTTATACACTTAACTAATGAATCCAGATAGCCAATTGCTTGTGCAATGGGGTGAAATTTTAATTCATTTTGCATTGGTTGTTTGAATCATCCCAGTGGAAGAAACGCGCGTCCTGGATTCCACTGCTAGCCACCATCCATCTCTGCTTATAACGCTTGTGACTTCAGGCAATATCAAGTCACCAACTGCAGTTCTAAATATCTATTATTCTAAAAGTTTATATTTAAGGTTTCCTGCCAAACAATGTGGAATGTGTTCAATCATGTATTACTTGATTTCATATAATTGAGAAGCATTTTGAGACAAATAGGAGACTATGAATACTTAAGATGGATAAAGTCATATGAAAATATAAATTATTTTCTAAGTAATTGTTGACTTTTGATTCATATTCAGCAAAGATTTTATAAAAAAACGTCATTACACCTCAGTAATTTATGCATCACTGTAGTATCTGCGGTCCTACTGCTTATAATTGACACTGGAAAGCGACTCAGTTCCAAGACACAAAATAAGAACATGGAAGACTGATATAGATAAATACTTATCAACGTCCCCGAAAACATCGTCATTAAACTAAAATACAATCAGTTATACACTAATTTTACTTACACTTGACGACTAGTTAGTAAACATCAGATACTATCATTATGGGAATTTGTGGATATTGTAATATTTTAACAGTTGAATTTAAATGTGAATCTAAGCTATATCACCATTGAAAACATAGAAACACTGCATAATCGTTTCGTTCTAGTATGGGATTCCTCATTAGTGCGGATCCACAATCTTGCACGCGAGATTCAAACTTAGAGCCTTCAGTCTCACGAGTGAACGCTTAACCATTAGATCACTGAGCCCGTATCTAACAGTGTTATTGTATAACATCACACAGTTACTATGTTTACACTGAATAAATAAATACACCATGTCATAGTTGAAGAAAGCACACACCTATCATACTGAATGAAATTCATACTTAATTGATAGTTATATGAAAATAACTGTGACTTATATGTATATATCACTCACACCTGCCATAGCATTAATGAGCAATGTTTCGTCCTTTACCTTTTTTACACTCCTCAAACCTGTTACCTAGTGATAACAATAATAATTTTAGGAATGATGTAATAAGTTATTATAGT